CGCTTATTTTGCAGGTTTTCTGTGACGGGGCTTTTTCCAAAATAATATGTTTTTGTCATTACAAAACTTAGGGTGGTGTCAGAACAAATAAAAAAAAAAATCTACCTGGTAAGGTCAAAGATTAGCTCTTGGAAAACGTAATGAAATGTATACAAGTTGTGGTAAAATGCAATTTCCATGTACATAAGAGAAACATGCCTTGGGAAACATTTCGTCAATATTGTATTGCTATCCTTGAATTACCATTGGATTTTGCCTCAATGTAAGCAGATTGTTTTATACTGAAGCGATTCGTTTTATATTTATATTTTCAGGAGTGGAATGTCCATAATTTCCCTAGAGTTAGTAGTCTACTTTCGATATACAGATTTTGATGTATTTATAGACGAAAGAAATCAACTTAACAGGCTTTTGTTGACCTGAGGACAAAATTTTAGTTTTCATTGACATTTCCTTTATTTATTTTTACGTTTCATTTTATTTTACTTATACAAATTAATTATTTTACAATGATATATTAATAATTTGCTGAGATAACGAAGGTAATCTATCTCAAATAACTAATAACATGAAAGAAGTGAAGGAGGCAACAGAAGTTTAAATTATTCTTGTCGGTGAAAACGAAAATCACATGTTCGTAAATCGCTTGATTTCCAAAGTACTCTTTTGATCCTTTCACTTTGAGAAGCATACGAAAAGGCACTTTAGACTTTCATAGTAAATGAGTTTCTTAGTAAAAATCACTAAATGTTGTTGTGGAGGATCAGTAAATGAGTTTACATATTCATTAAAAATCTAATAATATTTATGTTTTATACGCAATTGAAAGTTCCAAGGTACCTCTTTAGTGTTAGTTAAGTTTCTAGTAACTACTTAGCCCAAAAATTATACATACTAAGAAAAATACCATAGAAAATTACTGTTGAATAAGCTTAATAGCTTAATAAATATCGAAGATATAATCCCCCCGCCGCAGCAAACCTGCAGACTAAGCGAATTTCCATCATTTTTTAGATAAAAATCTAAATATTTTGTCAACATTTTAAATTATTGATCATATTGCTTGTTTAAACATCAAAGCTATAACTAAATGCAACAATGTACCACCAGTGACCATAACTGTACCAATATTTACTGTAACAAGCAATTCAAATACAAGCACAACACATTTTGTTGACGAGGTAACCCAAATGGTTTAACTTTATGTGGTTTTAATCGTAATTTCCTCTACGTTTTCATCTAAATCATGGATGAACTTTCGTCACAATAGCAATTCTTAGAATTATTTTAAGTGGATTAAGCGTCTCTTTTTTTCTAAAAAGTTCATATTTTCACTCTGGGCTAAGTGAAACCCTATTTAAAAATTATATTCAAAGACTTATTTCAATATTTCTCTAATAAACTACCGTTAAAACTAGAATCAACTCGCTTTTAAATAATAATTAAAGTGGATAAACACGTTTTTTCACCATGATTTCTATAACATGAATGATTGTATCTATTTTCCACATACTGATTATTTTCCTCTATTTTATTTAATAAGAAAATGTCCGATTCTGAATTTATTTTGCTTATTAAGTTTCAACAGGGAATGGTCGGTATATTCTAGATTTTCTGTACTATTCAGTTGTAGAAATAGTTAAAGCTATCCAGGCATTTCTACGATAAAGATTACATTTTCCTTTTGTAACTGTTTAAATGTGATGCAATGTTAGTTGACTCCATTTTAGTTTTTCCTCGTCGCCAGTATCAAGTCCTTAAATTATATAAAACAAGATACAAGAGAATGTACAACCCATTTTATTCAACTATTTTAACTGAATGAAAAATATATAAACACAAACATAAACATAAAAAAATAATACAAACCATGTGTGTTAAGAAATCATATAGTGATGACAACTCCTTATTACTAACCTATTATTACTTTCCAAAAAAAAAACACATTTTATTAGTTTCCTTGTTCAAACCTAGGTACTCGTTAAACCTTATGTTTTTTAAATAGATTTAATTGAAAATCAAGTCAGAAAAATTGAAGCTCGCTTAGCTGGCAGGTTAGCTGTGGCGGGGGTATTTGTATTATACTCGTACAAATAAAGCACTTATTATTTTTACATAAAAAGTTACTTCAATATTTTGGAATTTAGTGTGTTAGAACCAAAACTACAGCGTAATGTTAAATAATAACTCTTGAAAATTTTAATGGAACGTATACAAGTTGAGGTAAAATGCAATTTCTATGTACATAAGAGAAACATAGGGCCTTGGGAAACATTTCGTCAATATTGCATTGCTAGCCTTGAATTACCATTGGATATTGCCTCAATCAGATCGTTTTATATTGAAACAATTCGTTTTATTTATATGTTTCCCAAGAGTACCTTGAATGTACAAGTGTGATGTGTTTACACATAAATCATAATCATGAACTTAAATTACCGACCTAAATCTTGGTTTAAGAAAGCCTTACCTTTCATTACGTAGGCATATATCAAGTCTTTTGTTGACTTGAAGAAAAAATAATAATTTCGATTGATTTGCTCGTTATTGGTGGTGAGTGTAACAATGTCAACGGCTGAAATTAACATGCTCTGTCTGCAAATAAAGGATATGTAATTACCAGGTAATTTTGTTTACTGGGTAATAATCGGAGTGATAATAAACAGTGACTAACTGACTGACATTGCTGAACGTTACTTATTGGTCGTTGCTCAACGTTTTGCCTAACAGTTTTATCTCAATTTGCAATAAGAACAAACAAAAATTTGTTAAATTAATTGATTGAAATTAATGTATCTGTAATTAACATTATCTGTAATTAAATGCCAACTATTTGTGGTTTTTTCAAAATATATAGTTTTTCAAGTAGTTTTATGAATAACCTCCTTTTATTTACAGTATTCTCATACTATCTTTTCGCATTTAAATTTTAACGATTTGATTTGAACTCCAGCTTTGTAGAGTAATGTAAATACATCTTTATGTATTCACTAAGCTTAAATCTAGGTCTTTATATTAAATATTGTTAGATATAGATCTAAAAAAAGCTTAATAAAATCATTATTAATTACTGCAAAATTATGTAGGTTATTAGGAAGAGTTTTGACTCTGTAAAATTAGAATCATCGCAAAACTAATATTTTTTGAATTATTTCATAATTCTCTATCCATGACACACTATATCATACATCAATGGATACGGAAATAAATTTTAATTATTTCTACGATAAATGTGCATTGTCAATATAACGTAGTCAGTAAACTTCCAATAACTTAATTAGCATTATAGTGTGTTTTAAGATAATTTGTGTTTACATAATTTACTAGTGATGTAAATTTAGGATAATTTATAATTGTTTATATATTTTATAATGTTTCATATATTCCGTTTCTAGCCCCTTTTAAAACGATATATTTAAAGTAAAATAAAGACATACATCAATGAGGAGAGGTAAAATAAATGTCTATGAAAGAGTTACATTTATATAGAACTAGCTGTACCCGCGGGCTTTGCCCCGTTTAACTTCATAAGTGAACTCGTTCACATTGCTCAATCACGTCCTGGATGAAGTTCGTTCGCTACGCTCACTCTCCTTTTGGTTGCAAAATAGCTGTTGTCATAAGTTTGAAAAAAATAATAGCGCTGCACCCAGTTGGTAATCCTTGTAACTTTAATGCTATTGAACATCATAGAACAGAACCAACTTGTTTAATTGAAACAGCTGTTAAGATTAATTAATTCCATTTAAATATGAGTACTCATAAGGTTAACATGGGAAACTCCAGAGCCACTGGGGCGGAGCCCGAGAGTCCGGTCAGAATAAAAACAACTTAGTTTTCCTATTTAATGCCTAAAGAATCAGTGTACCAAATTTCAGCCTCCTAGGTAAATGGGAATTAAGAGAATTAGTGATGAGTGAGTGAGTCAGTCAGTGAGTCAGTGAGGGCTTTGCCTTTTATATATATATAGATCCTAAAGCTTACACTGTACTAACAGACATTGGTACAATTCGTTTAGGACAACTAAGCTATTTATTATGTATACAAATATAAATATCTTAATTTAAAATGTTACACAAGAAAATAAAGTACGGAGATAACAAGAGACGATAATCAATATCGTTTCAAGGAATGATGGATTGTTACCGATGAAGATAATTTGCCTTATAAATCACTTTTATGTCTTTGTTTTCCAACATTTACCGTAACGTGCACTTAAAGTTATTGAAAACTGTAATGAATTGAAAACTTAATACATAGACTACTTTTAATGACGCTTTGTGACCTTTTCTAACGTGAAAAGCGCATTGCCCACTGGTTCACACATTTAATGCTATTATGTGTTTGAAGAGGTACGGACGTAATTGATATCAAACGTAAATGATAATCTGTGTATCAATCTAAAACGTATTGCATACTAAAATGTCGTGGTAATAAAGTTATCATGGTCAATATAATGTGTGCTGGATAGTGTATAATGTAGCTTTCTCAATTGTAAGTACAAAGATTTCTCCCTGTTTATTTTTGTTGATTAAGTAAAACCAAACATTGACACACAGTTTAAAAATGAATCCTCAGTGTTAACTATAAAATAACCATACAATGTTCTTAAAATAATAGTTTCATTCCAAACTGGTACGAAAATTAACTTATTATAGGGGAAATATGCTTGAAAGAAAGTCAATTTATGATTAACAAGATTTTCCAACAATTTTAAATTCGTCTTCATTTATTAAGCTACTTCTTATAAACGAGTTTGCAAGAATGCTTCACTAACGTTTATGAAGATTTATAAAACTAGACGAACACTCTAACTTCGGTGCTTTCTGTTATGCTTCAAAATGATAAAGGCGACTCTAAATCAAAGTATTCTTCACTTGAAGGTAAAATTAATTTTCCACGTTAATATATTCTTAAACAAGTCAATTTTTAAATTCTACTTTGTTTTAAATTTTAGGCATAGTTAATTACCATCATGTTAGAAGTGGTACCCCGACGTGCTGCGGGTCTGGGACCCCCAATTTACATGCCTTGGCCTCTAAAGCACCCTGCAAAACTAGTGTTCACGACTGACACTAGAAGAGATCCTTGCACGAAGAGAGACAAGTGCTTTCAAGAGATGATGCAGATGTACGCCCATCAAACGTTCAGCTGGAACGATAGTGACATCCGTTACAAGTTAGTACAAGTGGAATATGTAAACATTATAAGGGTGTCTCACAAGTGAACCAATAGTTAACTTGTTTTAAGAAAGAAACAGTTAACTTCCTATGAGGCACTCCCATTTTTTAAAAATACTTTTTTGGAGCAGTTTTGAATTTGAAAAAAATGACCACCATTTTCCAAAATGGCCATAAACTTTATATGGCCCCTTATAAAGTTTACCCTATATCTCATGATTGTTTTGGAATGTAAATGCAATTTAAAAGCGTTTTAATTCTTACCATTTTTTCTCTAGAGCTCTTCGTTTACGAGTTAAAGCCCGTTACAACTAAGGAAATTTTGCTTGCAGTGTACATTCTGAAAATTTTCTATCCTGTAGCTCCTAAATGTTAAAGGTTGGAGAGAAAATGCATAGAGTAAATAAGTCTTAAAATTGCATCTATATTCCGAAAAGACCATAAAGTACATTATTAAGTATTGATTCCAATGTTAAAAATATGGCCCCCATTTTCCAAATTAGCAGCTAACTTGAAAATGTGATAAGTGTATTTTGTGGCCTTTTTAGAATGTAAATGTGAATTTAATATGTTGAGAAATATTAAAGATGACTGCCGTTTTGGAAAATGGTGATGCAATATTTAAAAATTAAAACGACCCCAAAAAAGATAAAAAAAATAGTTAATAAAAAGTATCATACAAAGTTAACTGTCCCGCTTATAATAAACAAGTTAGCTATTGGTTCACTTTAGGTGAGACCCCCTATAAATCAAGTGTAAAATTACACCACTAATATTAAGATTGTTGGTATTCGTAGGGGGTAGTAAGCTGCTGGTCCAGTGGGAAAGCGTGGTGCTTAATTCCAAATAGTCTTGGTTCAAATTTTGCCAATAATAAATTTATTTTATGTAAGCCTAGCAATACATATAAACCGGTTCGGGGAGAGATCATAGCGTGCTAGTTTGTAAACAAGGGAAATAAAAAAGTAATCATTTTGAGGGTTTTGGATTGTCACAGAGATCGTTGATTTTGTATCCTCTTGCCATTAATCATCAAATATTTAGTTAATATATTGGAGGTAATAGCCAGTTGATGCTTAATATACCTAATACTATAGACTGTTATTACAATAGCTATCCATACCAGCATGAAACATAGGAATAAAAATATGAAACGTATAAAGATGAATGAATCACTTTTCCCAACACATATTCTCAGACAGTCAATAACGTTTAAAATGCAGCGATGATAAAAACCTAGCCTATCATTTGATGCAACCCAAATCAACCAGCAATGGATCGATCTCGTTAACTTATACATTCTCTAGTCTTTAAATGGGTAATTTATTAATTAAATCAATGTTTTTTGTAGTTTCATCCTACTGTATCTTTGGGTGCAAATTTGTTCAACGCAAAAAAGACTGTAAATGTTATTTATGTCCTGGATAAAAAATCACATACATCTTAAAACAATACTTATATAAGTTTCAGTAATTCATTGAGTACTGATGTCACAGTAGGTAAATATAAGTTGTTCGATTGAATCTCCTATTCAACTTTAAGATGCTCGTTCCAAGGTTATGAATTGGGTATGAACCATGCAATAGTCCAATATTGTGTAAACCAAATTTATTAACGTTATTTAAAAGTATTGTCTATATGTGAGCTAACATATTTCCTTTAATTAAACCAGCAGGATTTTAATTGGATATCGTAAATAATTCGATAGTATTTTTAATAGTAATGTTATAGTTAAAATCGTCTATTTTGAAACATTTCAGATTAAACGGGTGGGCTGACTGATCTCTCGGTGTGCACAAAATCAATTTGCTGCGTGGACTGGAACGTTCATCAGGTTCTTAAAGGAAATATGTTGTTCTTGGTAAGTATACCGTCAATGTGTACTCATACAAGAAACAAATAAAAAAAATGAATCTTGGCGAAAATAAATATTTAATGCACTATAAAAATATTCTGCAAAAACGTCAAAAACAAAGTTCTAAACAAACTAAAATTTTATTCTTTATTAATTATATGTTCTAGTACTTTGCAATTTAATCTTTAACATATCGGATTGAAAGAGGTTATGGAGCTTAAAATGTATAGTAAAATAGAATACAAAAACCAATTAAGTAAAACTATTCATAAGCAAATACTGTACGTTTTCAAGAGTAGGCATCGCTTTCTTTACAATACCCTTACAATTGTAAATTAGTCTGCTTCCTTGGTATGTAAAATCGTCAAACTACACAAGGCTTTACGAATGTGCAGTTTCCTGATTGGTGGAGACAACAACATATACGAAGGCAGAGGCTGGCACAACAGCCCTACAGTGACAGACAGATACAAGAAACTGGAGCCTATAAGCTTCATGATAGGGTTCTTTGGAAAGTATCCAGGTAACCAAAGTTTGGTTTATTTTTGTAACTGTAGACAACATTCATCATCTAATGGTATGCTTACAACAATTGCTTATTAATAATATTAGATTCAAAAATACAACACTAGTGAAACATAATTTTTGAGTTGTTCTTTGAAAAAAAAAATACTGTGCAATCTCAAAATCATTATAAATTATATCAATTAATTGTAATAAGCTTATTGTTTTACTTGCAGATGGAAAACCCCCACAGCAAATGCTTGACCTGGCTGAAAAAGTGATACAATATGGAATAACGAATCAGTACATCAGTCCTAAATTTCTACTCATTCAAATATCATCTAAATACCAACTGTACGCTACTGGAAAAGAACCTTGGGGAAAAAAGAAACCTAAGTGAAATATATACTACCAAGGATAGAAATAAGGTAATACAGGAAAAACACTGCATTTCACATCCAAAACTATTTTGTCTTTCTTCATGATGGGAAGGGCTCTGGATCGTCTGTTCTTACCAAGAGAGGATTAATTTTTTTTTTTTTACTTCAGACGAGCGATAACATGAAGGGCATTTAAACCCTGTTTACATTTTGACCTGATGATGTGCTCAATCAGAAGCAAGACACTACTGTATTGGGCCTAGTTTTAAACTACCGTGGGCCATTTTGACAAAAACCACATAGTTTTCTCTTTTAGTGAGTTTTATACCATTTTCGTTTAATAAACAAACTATATGTATCAAACATAGTAGTTTCAAATCTAAGTTTCATATGTTGAAAAAATGGTTATCCATTTAATAAATGAACTTTACAGGGGTTTAAAATAAAAAATTAAAAACACTTGATTTTTATAACCCTATATTTTTGTAAACATATTTTTATACGTTAAGGTTTGAGTTTTTAAACAAAGGTATTTCAGTATAAGGTTTGGGGAAAAAACGAAAAACTACTAGCATCAGAGGCACATTTCTAACGGCCATCTGTGTCACTCTACTATGTTGTAAAGAAAGCTGTAAAATGGTGGACAGGGAGAGAAAGAGCACTGTTTTATATCTTTCAGAAAATTAAATTAAGACAGTAACGTTTGAAAAGATGGATAGCTCCTTAAGGTAAATTGTTCCATTTGTTGTGTGAATTAAAACAATCTGAATATTTATTTATTTATTAAACAGCTTTTATTACAAAAAAAAGGTTTGCACTGTAAGTATTATTTTAATTATTTATATATCCTCTAAACATTAATGTAATCGCACAATCAACTGACAGAGAGCCAGAAAATTTTCAGAATAAAAATATAAGATGATACAACAAAATATTCAAATCTGAAACGTAAAATACAAGTATGCATATAGAATCACAAGCTATAAAAACATTATATGATGAAAAACAACGAATACGATATGTAAAATAACTATAAGAAATACAACAGCGAAATACACAGTATAATAATTGAAATAATTTTGAAAATTTAAATAAATAATTGATAAACTATTGAACCATATGTTAATGTTGAATCAATATGACGCATTAAGTAAATTAGGGTTCAAATTAGTCTGAAATTTTAACAATAGTAAAGAAGATTTAATGGTTTTTAAGATAAATTTAATATTTTAAATATATAAAAAATATTGTTTAAACAACTTACTTAAATATATTTTTAGCATATACGATACTTAATTATAATTTTTATAATTTTATACCGTACTATAAATGTAAACAATACGTAAATGAACGAAAAGAAGATTAATAAAGTATCTAATACAGTCTCTATTTCGTCCTCTTTTTCACCTTTTCACTCCAATTTTGTTCCAACGAGACGTAACCGAATTTGATTTGAGAAGCCGGACAAGTTTTGATTAAGTTTCACACCTGAGCCGGATCTCAATGTAATGTAATATATATCCCCACGGCAGAATGTACTGACGAGGCTTCGCAGATTGGCTTAGTAAAATCCAAGGTAATTAAAATACCCCCCGCTGCAGCAAACCTGCAGACTAAGCGAATTTCCATTTATCTGAATTTATTTTCAATTTAATCTATTCAAATGACATTAGGTTTAACGAATACCTAGGTTTGCTGTCTACAGGGAGGGTAAAAGACTGTTTTTAGTAACATATTAGAAGCTTAATATTAAATAAACAAGCAAAATACAACAGTTTACTTATTCTCCTTAAGAATAACATGGGAATTTTTATTTAAAATTTTCTCCGTAACCAATAATAGTACGGAAACACTTCAATACACTAAATTATTTGTTTATCTAAGCTCTTCAAAACGGTCCAGAGAAAATTTGGGAAATTATAAGTTTTAAGGGTAAAAAAATACACCATAAATCTCTCCATACAACCCCGTTCCCATGGTTCGATCATGCTGGTTCACGAACTCGTTCAAATAAACGTAGGTTTACACATTTGTACCAAATTTCATCGATATCGGATACTTTTTGCTCGAGTTATCGTGATAACGGACACACAGAGCTACGGTAATAGCTCATTTCCTATATAGAAAATTCGGTAAAAACTGATAAAGGTCTCAAGAGCTGCATCCAAATAACATTTACGTAGTTTTTCTTTATTAAAAATTATGAAGATTGTGCAGCTTTTGCATAATTATAACTGGTAAATGAATAAACAGTTAATAAAACAATCATAGGCTAAAGATGGGCTTATTAATACAGATTAAGTCAGGGTTACAAATTCTTTAGCAATACAAATTACATGTTTGTTATAATTGGCCCAAAACCTTAACAAATAAAGACGGTAACTTAATAGTCATTGTTACCTGTGCGTCCGTTGGGATGCTGTACTTATAAACAAGTTATTGTTTACGGAATAGAAAAAAAGTTTAAGTTGGAAATTTTAAGTTTTTATTTTATACAGGTTGGCAATATTAAGAGTCCTATGGAAGCTAACGGCCATCTTGGATTTTACCACCATTAGAGAAATGTTAAAATCGTTGATTTCAAATAGCCACTGAAGAGTTATTTACCATATAAAAATATTTTTTCACACCAGAGAGATTGTACTTAAAATATCTAGTATACTGTGAGATTACAAATTTTCTTTTTGGTTTTTAAAATTTTTAACGAGTTTTAATTGTTATGGCGGATTTATAATTTTGAAAGAAAAAGATACATCACTACAAAATTTTACACATCAATAATAGTAATTGTAAGCTATTTTTTTGTATACAAGGTGGACGGAGGTCACCTGTGGGGGATGGTCCATGCGGAGTAATTTTAAGGTCTTAAAGGTAAGCATAGGTAGATAGGTAAATCAAATTACATACCTTGTTGAACTAAAAACAATACCGCAAACAAGAACTCATAAGTTTGATTCATTCAGTATTTTACGAAGCTAATTAAAGCAAATAAAATCTTTTTGAACCTAATACTCACAATTGGAGTATTAGGTCCATTTCTAGGCTCACAAGGTATAAATATGCACCGTAATAAAAAAAATTATTAACCTTTACTTCGTATCGCCAAGGCCAATCTGTAGGCAACTGTAATATTCCATAAATAAAATATAATTATTCAATACTATGCTGTTTCCAGGAACTCGTTAATCAATTAATCACTAACACAAAAAAGCCGTGTTAATTGAGTTATAAAAGATAACTGTTGACAAACGTACTGTTTAAGCTAGGTATCACCTACGTCTTAGGGTAATATTCACTTTTTATCCATGTTTTACTTGCAACTTTAAAGAACATGTTTTAATTTATATTTCTAAACATCCTTGGTGATGAGTTTCAAGCAAGCTTCATGTTTTACACCAAATAGTGTCTATTGATCACCAAACACAAAAGTGAATAATACATAATAACTGAAAATCTCTTTATCTCTTAGCTCTGATAATGCGGTTATCTTCAAACCAGTTAATCAGCTGTTCAACTAATCAGCTAAAATGTATAACACCATATCTCAATAATGCCTTTACCCGATGAGCCAGTGTCAAATTTAAGCAGTATTGAAGGAGGTTTGTTATTATGTTTCATTAATAGTTTTACATATTTTATTTCCAACTAAACGTTGAATTTCCCGTATATTGCTCATTTATTTTTTGGCAAAGCATATTGTTTGTTGTTATATTGTTTACGTTTTTAACATATCATTTGACAATTTCTAATTATAATCGATACCTTAATAACTATAAATAGTGTAGAAATGATATTTAACATTCTTCAAAACGACCTTGAACTACATACTCATATGACAGCAAACACATTTTTAGGCTACATGGTTTTTAACATAATATAAACAGTGCTTGTACAACAACGGTAAAAAATGCGACCTAAATATATTAAACACTCTTAAATAGCGTTTGATGTATAATTTGTGTTACAACATAACAATATTTAAACGTAATTATCGGGTCAAACTGTTTAAGGTAATTTTTGTTATTTAAATTCTAGCATTTAAAAATCTTAGTTGCTCTGAGTTACTATCTTGATATACTCACACTTTACTTTTCAGATTTAAATGGACGTTTTGGTAATAAAGTAAATCAGAGTACAAAATATCCCACTAGTACCTGTCAGATGTTTGACTCACTAACACATGATGGATATATAATATTCATCTTTTGCAAATTATAATCATTTGGTGGATAACATTGTGACCTGTAACTTATACGTTGGTTTTACTAATGTAAAACCATAAATTATCATCAATCATTGAAACATACTTCTTCGTATGTCAAGCTTTTGTTCTGCTACCATCCTACTTAAAGTAATAAATTATTGGTTGTTTTCTAAAGTTCAGTCTCAATCTCGCATTCATTCAAGCTTTCTAAATTCGCAAGCATTTTATACACCAGCTAATTTAACACAGCCATGACGGTATAAAATTATTATTGTACCGAGTTCAACAGATATTAGGAACTGTTGCCAAGTAAAACAAACTGTTCCAATAAACAACTATGGTTTCAGATGCGGGCCACGAATACAAGTATGTACCTCGTTTGGGATGGGGTGCCGAGCCTCCAAGAAGTGTCAGGAGAGTAGGTTTAGTGAACTACATACTTTGCACCTACACCAACAGTAGACCGTGCTTAGACCACGACACATGCAGTCATGAAATCAAGTTTGTTCAGAGTAAAAACATGCAGTATCCCGACAACCCAGATGTGAGATACAGGTAATTATGGGAGAGATTGTCTAGAATCGTGTGTAAGTTAAGTTATACATCTCACAATGTCAAAAATATTCCTTCTTTCCCTAAATTTTTTTTTTAAAATCCCTCCAAAAAAGTATTCAAACCTGGATTTATCAATAAGTTATTTTGTTGAAACGTTGAAGGTAATATTGTAAGCTGCAAAAAATTGTTTATAACAAACGATACGATTCAAAAGTTATTGTAAACTATGTTATTTTCTCCTAAAAGGCATAAAATTAGAGAATATTTTATTTTCGAAAAACCCGCTTCTGATTGGAATTTTCCTGTGATGGTCCTTATAATTCTAAAAAAAATCGTGCAACCACCCATTGCTGTAAAAATTACGGGTTGAAATTTATTACAACTTACGTCCATATACAATATACAATATCATGGTTACTCCCAACTATTACCCATGATAAAGGTTGTTGACATGCTAAAGGGAGAAAGTGTGTGTCAGATTGCTGATACCGTTTATTAATTTCGGTTTAGAGTTTAACAAACAATATGTGTAATTTCTGTGTGGTATTTATTTTTATTTCATACACTGCAATAAAATAGTATCGTCTTTTACTAAATTTTAGATACTAAAGTAGACTATACATACATGACTTAACAAATGTTGCATTCATATTGCATACAGTCATAAGAGCCCTCACATAATTTGGTACACTTAATTAGTATAACAACTACGTATTTGTTATACTATAAACAGTTGATAAAAAATACAATGCTATAATATATAACGTAATTTTAGAATAGCTCTATTAAAGTCAGTTCTTCAGCGAAATCTATCAACGACAAAATTTCACTACATTCATTTTCTTTATATGATGTTGCTACAACGTATGGTTAAGGGAGATGACAAATGTGTTGTTCTTGAATTAAAAATAAAATATGATTCCCCAGCTTCCTGATTGGCGGAGATGGAGCAGTATATGAGGGTAGAGGGTGGGGAATACTTCCTCGAGCCCCGAAGAGGTTTGCGGGTATTTCTTCTCGAAGTCTTTACATTGCCTTTGTGGGAAAGTTCAAATGTAAGTTAACCATTCTAGGCAACAAAATAGTTTTCTCTTTTTCCTAATGTTTGTCATTTATTCGTCCACAGGTTTCATATTGTTTTCAATGAGCGAAATGACTTATGGCAAATATTTATTAATTTATAAATTTGAAACCAGATAATAAACAGCAGAAAATTTCCGCAAAAAAAACAACATATAAGTAGAGCAAATTTTTATTTACTATGATCTACAGTAAAATGCAATGTTAATGGTAATAATTAATACTTTCAAATAACAATAATACATAAAAGAACATATCCTAAAAACGAATCTTTAAAACTTAATTTAAATGAAATCCTAGTTATACACATTAGTTATTGCTACCAATTTAAAATACTTTACTTCTTAGTCCGTAATGGAACATTTATACGCATACATTTCTCTTCTAGCCTTTCAGAACTGTTTAAATCATTATTTGTAAGGGTAAAAGGAGGAAAACCTATATTGACGTATGAAATAGTAAACAGGGGTTATAAACTAGTTAATTCAGTTTGAGAGATAGATTTTGTTTGCTTAAAATATTAGATTTGTGGTTTTAGAGAATATCCCATATATGGAATAAGTTATTAATTAATTTCTAATTGTTCATAGATTTATAAAATTGTATTTTTTCAGTCACGCCTCCCTCGGCGAAAATGTTCAAAGCTAAGGATAATTTGATTCTTGATGGAGTCAATAAAGGATACATAGATAAAAAGATCTTAATATTTACTATGTAAATGTGCTTCGTAAATTATTTATATAAATACATTTTTAAAGTGTAATAGTGTTTTCTTTCAATCTCTCAATTTTCTCCTTTAAATGATTAGTGGTAGTTATATATACAAGAAATATCCCTTTAAAAAAACAAACGTAAGCATAGGCCTATACATTATATGAGTAAAGTTTTCTCACACTATACTAAAACCAATTATACACAACAAAATTAAATTAATTAAAACTAATTTGTTGAAAGTTAAGTAGAAGATTATAGTTAATTTAGCTTAAATTAGAATATATACGCGACAGTGACAAACTTGAATCATAATTCAAGGCGAAGACGAATATAGGATAGGTGAGGAATTGATCGAGGAAAAGCTTTACTACTTGTCAAAAGGAGAGTTTTAGCATGTAGTCCGCCGACACTCGCCAATTTGATGGTTTTCTAACCAGGACCGTCTTTTGAAGACATCAATTAATGAAATAATCAATAGAATGGTAAATAGTAAATAAAAAAAATTTCAAATTCTCATTTATTTGTTAAATTATTATACGTTTTTAATGAAATGTTGCTAATTTACCGTACCCGGATAATTTTACACATTTACTTTGAAGTATTACTTTAAAAATCCTTTCTTTATTGTAGTAGAAGTCATTATAGTTTCATATATATGAACAGTCAATTATTAGTAACGGAAGAGTTATTATGTTTTGCGGGGTGGCTGCACTGTGCACTGAGCCCTGAAGTGGGATGATTCGTCACGGCTCCTCTTTCTATGTCCACCAACGAACGTAAGTGGTTCTCTTGCTATATCGTCCACTTTTCTAGCGTAACGTTAGGTTACGACATTTTGGCGCAGTCGGTAATAAACCTTTTTATCATAGTTAGGGTAGTACGCGATAACAGTTGTTGTTTTAGTGCGTATTATAGTTGAGATGATTAAAAATGGCGAGTATTAGTGTTGGCAGGATTTCTGAATTTAATCCAAGTGAGGAGGACATTGTGCCCTATTTGTTGCGCCTGAAACATTTTTTCAAAGCGAACAATGTCAAGAAGGAAAACGAGGTGTCGGTTTTAATTACAGTTATTGGTCCCAGGGTTTTATCGGTCCTATCCGATTTATTATCACCGGTAGAGGTAGATTCTAAGACCTATGATGAACTTGCAGCGTTGTTGAAATTACATTATGCGCCCAAGAAGTTGGTTGTGGCGGAGCGATATGTATTCTACTCTCGTGTGCAAAAGCCGGGCGAAAGCATAGCGGAGTTTGTGGTGTCAATAAAACATTTAGCTAGTTCGTGCAAATTTGGTACCTTTTTGAAAGACGCTTTGAGGGACAAAGTGATTTCCGGCATTTCTAATGAAACTATCCGGCAGAAATTGTTGTCGGAGGAATTGGACTTTGACGAAGCTTATGCGTCAGCGCTCAGGCTGGAACAGGCCGAATCGCAGTCAAGCCTATTTGTGCAACCTCGTGGGGACATTGCGAAAATCAATTGTGAAAAGTCAAAATAGGCCTAAAACTTTCATGCATAGGAGTAGTGAAAATCAAAATTCTAGAAACTCTTGCTGGAGGTGTGGTTCTGCTGGTCATTGGCCTAGTGCGTGTGCGTTCGCCAGTTACAAGTGTCACGGTTGTCAGAGAGTAGGTCATCTCAAGAAAGTGTGTAAAGCCAAGAAATCTTCTAGTTTCCATTGTAAAAATTCGACACCTAGGATGGGGGTCCATCAAGTGGAGGAAGAGGTAGGCCTAGGCCTAGAAGTTCCAATGGCAGACATAGGTCTGTACAACCTTAAATCAGGATCAGACAACGGCTATAAGGTAGGCCTAGTGGCTAATGATGTATATTTAGAAATGATTCTAGATACAGGCAGTGCCTTGACTATATGTCCTTCTGAGATATTTTATGAAAAATTTTCTAACCTCAAACTTAGGCCAGCAAATGTGAAACTTACTACTTATTCAGGTCATGATGTACCTGTTCTGGGACAAGTGAATGTCAATGTTAAATATAATAATCAGCAGGCGAGTTTGCCTTTGACAGTAGTTAGTTTAGAAAGTAAGAGTCAGCCGATTCTGTTGGGGCGAAACTGGTTAGGCCAGTTGAGGTTAGATTGGCAAAATGTGTTTTCATGTAAAGCCACTGTGGATCACAGTTCCGATTTGGACATTGCTAAATTGAAGAGTAAATTTAAGTCAGTTTTTCAGCCTGGAACGGGCGAAATTAAGGGTGTTAAGGCTCATATTGTCTTAAAGGAGGGGACAGTCCCTAAGTTTTGTAAGGCGAGACCAGTGCCTTTTGCGTTAAGGGAGAAAGTTGAGAGTGAGTTGGACCGCATGGTTCAAGAGGATGTTGCGTACAGAGTTACTAATTCACAGTGGAGCACTCCACTTGTGGTTGTCCCTAAGCCTAATGGTGTTAGGCTTTGTGCCGATTATAAGATTACTCTTAATCATTGTATTGAAATGGAACATTATCCGCTTCCTCAGGCTCAAGATATTTTTGCAACTCTAGGCGGTTGCTCAGTTTTTAGCTGCCTTGATCTTTCAAATGCGTATCAGCAATTTGCGGTAGCGGATGAATCGCAACATCTGTTGACCCTAGCTACCCATAAGGGTCTGTATCGTTTAAAAAGGCTACCATATGGTTTGTCTTCAGCTCCTGCAATTTTTCAGTCAGCCATCGACCAAATTTTAACAGGTCTTCCAGGAACGGTGGCGTACTTAGATGACGTCTTAGTGGCGGCTCGCTCTAAGGAAGAGGGGCTTGCCCGTCTGGCGCAGGTGCTGCAACGCCTTGATGAGTTTGGTGTTCGAGTAAACCAACAAAAGTGTAAGTTTTTGCAATCGTCAATAGAGTATTTAGGACATGTGATTACTCGAGATGGTCTCCGTCCACAAGAAAGTTTGTTAACTGCGCTGCGTAAAGCGCCGGAGCCTAGTACTAAGGAAGAGTTACGAGCCTATATTGGTCTAATAAATTATTATCATGCATTTATACCTAACCTGTCTGCTAGAATAAGCTGTTTTTATGACTTATTACATAAGGATCATCCATGGGTGTGGTCGGAGGTGTGTTCTAAGACTTTTCAGGAGAGTAAATCATGGGTGTTGGACTCAAGTTTGTTAGTTCACTATGATGTGAAAAAGCCCATAGTTCTGACGTGTGATGCGAGTCCCAGAGGGGTGGCTGCTGTTCTATCTCATCTTATCGATGGTCAGGAAAGGCCAATTGCCTTCGCATCGAAAACGCTAAGTTCCAGTGCACGAAATTATTCTCAGTTACATCGGGAGGCTCTGGCTTTGATCTTTGGAGTCAAAAAGTTTCATAAGTATATATATGGAAGACACTGTATTCTACAGACTGATCATCAGCCGTTGACGGCTATTTTTGGCTCTAAAAAGGGCGTTCCTAGTATGGCGGCAGCTAGGCTGCAGAGATGGGCCTTGATTCTATCAGCATATGATTTGGAGGTTAGGTACCGGAAGGGAGTGGATGTCCCTCACGCTAATGCGTTGTCTAGGTTACCCTTAGCAGAAGCGGAACCTATAGAGCTGGATGCTAATTTTGTTTCACATGTAGATATGTGTACAGAAGTGATGAACAATTTCTGTGTTGTCAAGGACATTGCACCTATTACTGCCTTGCATATAGGTAAAATGACGGATAAGGATCCGATTCTTTCGAAGGTCCGAGATTTTGTGATGTACGGCTGGACGAGCTCGGTTGAGCCGGAACTAGCTATTTTTCTAAGGAAGAAGGACGAGTTGTCCGTGGAACAAGGTTGTTTGCTGTGGGGTTCTCGTGTAGTGATTCCAAAGAAACTGTATTCATCTGTGCTTCAAATGTTGCATGATCAACACCCGGGAGTTACACGCATGAAGATGCTGGCGAGAAGTTATGTCTGGTGGCCAGGCATGGAGAAGTCGATTGAAGACGTGGTGGCCTCTTGTTCTGCGTGTCAGTTAACTAGGAATTCGGTACCTAAAGTACCGTTGCAGCAATGGCCTACAACATCAACCCGATGGCAGAGGATACACATTGACTTTGCGGAGGATCCAGAGTCGAGACAGCAACTTTCAGTTTTGATTGACACATACTCTAAATGGTTAGAGGTATTTATCATGAGTTCCATGAATTCTTCCAAGGTTATTGAGAAACTCCGTACCTTGTTTTCATCGTATGGATTGCCTGTCGAACTGGTGTCGGACAACGGAAGATCTTTTACTAGTCAAGAGTTCAAAACCTTTTTGCATAACAACAATGTGAAGTTCACATTAACTCCCCCGTATCATGCGGCTTCAAATGGATCTGCGGAGAGAAGTGTTCAGGAGGTCAAGAAAAACCTTTTGCGTCAAGTGATTGAGGAACATCAGCGTTCTCAGCGTACCACTCTTCAAATGAAATTAGATAATTTCTTGTTTGCGTACCGCAACACTCCAAATACAGTTACTGGCTTAACCCCTGCAGAAATGTTCCTGTCTTGGAAGCCTCGTACTCAGTTGGTTATGTTAAAACCCAATCTCCAGTGATCCATTGATCAAAAACACAGGGAACAAAAAGATGCAGCTGATAGGCTTAGGGGAAGAAGCAGATTTTTCTCAGAAGGTCAGGCAGTCTATGTCAAAACTGTCCGAAATGAAAAGATATCTTGGGTTCCTGGTAAAATAATTCTAAAGAGAAGTCCGGTCACCTATCTTGTGAGTGTCATTGGTGGAAAACCCCGATTTTGTCATGCAGACCACTTGAGAGCTCGGGATGCAGAAGAGGAGGAGATTTTTGTATCACCCAAGGATCCCGCTGTATCACCCCAAGTACCCAAGAATTCACCCCCGCCGGAGGATCGACCATCTAGTCCCCTGATGATGTCACCTGTACCTAGGCCTACTACCAGTCCCAGGGAGAGCCTAGGGCAAGCCCAGCCTCAGCCAACTCCTGCGTCGCCGCTAGCACAGTGCAGCCCACCACCCTCGCTGAGGAAGTCTGGACGGACTGTGCGAAAGCCTCACAGGCTGGACTTGTAAAATAATTAATGAATAATGGGAAGAAGAAATTTTTGTTGCATTATATTGAAAGTGAATTTATTTTATTTTGAGTTAATTTTGAATTTATGGTATTGACTTTTTTTTATGGGGAAGACGAGTGTAGTAGAAGTCATTATAGTTTCATATATATGAACAGTCAATTATTAGTAACGGAAGAGTTATTATGTTTTGCGGGGTGGCTGCACTGTGCACTGAGCCCTGAAGTGGGATGATTCGTCACGGCTCCTCTTTCTATGTCCACCAACGAACGTAAGTGGTTCTCTTGCTATATCGTCCACTTTTCTAGCGTAACGTTAGGTTACGACATTTATGTTTCATTGTTTTATTTCTTATAAATAAGGAATCACCTTACAAAGCCAAGTGTGCGAAATTAAATTAAATACAAATTGTAAAATTAAATTAAATGCAAAATTTAAATTAAATTAAATCAAATAAATGTGTACGGCAACGCTTAGCGTTCCTTTTAAGTTTTAGTGGATAATTTTCAATTTTATTTTATAGTTAAATTTAATTTTAACTTTTTTTATAACTCTCTCCATTCCTCTTGAGGTTAAGCCTCCAACAATAGTTCCTCTTATCAATTGATAAGTCATTATTTTGATATCTAAACATAAGTTTCCGATTAGATAAGTAGCCAAAGCTGTTACTATAGTGGTACAGTTTATTGAGCGTGTCACGTGTGATTATCAAAAGTGTCGTCAAAAATTGACAGGAACACAATTTTACATGATACAAATAAGTAAATAATTTTTTAAGCTTTTTCTTAAAAGGTAGGCCTACTGCAGAGTAAAAATATATAAGTATAAGTGAAAATCAGGTATAAGTGAAAATCTATGAACCTTTTGCATTAAAAATATTTTTACCATAATAGTTGGTTGCTTTTACACACATTATTTAGCTCTAACATTTAATTCGCTAAAAATATATGAAAATAGAAGATGAAACTTTTGTTGTTACCGCTTGTCGTCTGTGGAACGGCCTACCCCTACACATTAAGACCCTTGAAAAACGTTCCCAGTTTGTGGCGGCACTGAAAAAGCTCTATTTTGAGAAGATGGTCTCGGCTGGCGTGTCCTAGGGCTACTGTTACCTTGCGCGTTTGCTGATGCGTGTATGCGAGAGTGTGTGAATGTGTTTTTCTATTTGTTAAATTTTTATGTTTTTTAGATATGTAGGTACTTGAATTGTTAAATATTTTATGTTTAATTAGATTAAGTTATCCCTATGTTACATTATTTATGTTATATTTTTAATATGGTTAAGTGTAAGAAAGGGCCATGTGGCCCTAACTTTGCCTGAAAAAATAAAGGATTTTTCATTTCATTTCATTCATTTCATTTCATTTCATTTCATTTCATTTCATTTCAAACTTTTAATAAAACTTTTCACCACAAATATTTTTTCCTTTATCAAACGAAGAAAAAATTTAATTTTATGACAATAAAACGGAACGGTAAGACCAAGAACACCTATGACCATTATAAGACTAAGAAATGTATTAAAACTTAGTTGAAACTTTGGAAATTGGTTTATCTACGCTAAATAAATGGAATTTATGTTTTATAAAATCTATATGTAAAATGATTCAAGTTAATAGCAATGCCCATTTATGCCTTATTTACGATAACAGTTTTAAAGGCTCCATATTTTCTCACAGCATTGTTATTACTATGTATTCAATTTCTGGATTTTTGGTAGAGCCTCTTTCATAAACCTTTGGAAAGAACCAAAAATCTCTATGTTTCTTATTTGTTGCAGCAACTTAAATAGCCCAATTAAGTAAAAGCTTTATTTGAGCGTTCAGAATGGTTGACACGCCAGAAATAGAGGAGTCGGATGAGTTTTTGGATGGGGACGATGAAATTCCTGATTCAGAAGTAGAATGGATTGTTCATGATAAAGTTGTAGAAAGGAAGTTTGAAGACCAGATGGTTAGTAGAGCGGAATGGGAGGCCCTGCCACCTACTGAACCAGCTACTAAGAGAGATGGCCCTGTAAAATTCGTCATGACCACCTTCACAGGAACTAACGTCTGCTGGAACGATATGTCCTGTATCATGGGCACACAGAGACTTCAGAGGCTAAGTATGGACCAGGGAGGAAAGACAGACCTTCCTTACAAGTAAGAAAATTATTAACATAGATCTTTTTATAGGATTTGTTAAATATTGATTAGGTTCAGTAACCGATGTCATCAATGTACAATGGTGTTTTTAGAGTATATAAGGCTTGTTGAGATTTACAAAACTAAATTATAGATATATTTTAAGTAAAATATGGACGAATTAAGTGTTCTGGGAGGCTAGCAGTCATTTTGAAAAACATTAAACAGCTAGTGAATAGTTAATTATCAGCATTTTTTTTTTTTTAAACACCAAAATGAGTATAATACTGTAAGATTAGAAATGCTCTTTGTAGTTTTGCTTTTTTACCAAGGGAGTTCATGGAAGCTGAAGGTCATCTTCGATTTCTAGGTCATAAGAGGAATGTTAATTTCTTTAATTTGAATCAGCTGCTGAAGAGTGATTTGACATTTAAAAACGATCAAATAACGAAGTGATTGTAATTTAAATACCATGTGCACTGTCAGCAAAATTTTCATTGTATATTTTTTAATTTTTTTATGAGTTAGAACGTCTAGGCACTTGAGTCAGACTTTTAGGTATAGTGTGCTGAGAAAGGATGATTTAAGGATTAATCCTAAGGTAATATTTTTGATGATCAATACATACACGTAACCCTTGTAATTAGAATTTTAGTAAATGCCAATAACTAAAACTACTGAACTTAGTTAAAACCAAACCTGTCATCTGAATTTATATATTTTTTAACTCATGTTTTTTTTTTTTTAGTTTAAAATACGCTTCAGCTCTGAGTCAGTGTCTTAAATCCAATCAAATATTGTTTTAATCGCATTTCTAGTAACGAGGCAGTAAGCAATGAACATTGTGAGGATCTAAAAGTAGCTGGAAAATATGATAATATGGCAATATGATATTTATCATTAGGAAATGGAGATTTTTAAAAAATCATAAAGAAATAACTATTCCACAGCTTTCTCATAGGCGGCTCAGGACTTGTTTTTGAATGTCGAGGGTGGAGCCATACACCGGAGTTACCTGAAAAATACAAACATCTCGAGTCAAATGCTTTTTTGATAGGATACATTGGAATATATGGAGGTAACTACAACTTATTGGTCTCTTCCTTACAATAACGATATACAAAACTATACTAGGGGCCACGACAGTCTGCAGTTGACGGCAGCCAATACCAAGACTGGACTAGCGCGATGTTGCAACATCCCTCGTTCACTACTTTTCGACACTTATTAAAATATACTAAACAATATTTTCAAATCAGCTGGTATTATTGGATTTGGCAACACCGCACGGTCCTTATTGGCTCCTTGGAAGTCATGTGGTAAATAGACTCCTCTCTCAACTGCAGACTCTCGTGGACCGTACTGTAGTGAAAAAATTCCCCTTTGATCCTTTCGCTATGCACGGTATCCATTTAAAAACTAAAGCCATGCCAAAGATGTTAGATGCACTATCATTGTGTTTTGGACACTTAGTAAATACGCATAGACTAATGTTTAGATATTAAATAAATTAGCAATAGTATCCATTTACTGAGTGAGCTACAAAACTAATCCTGCCCTCATTGTTTTCGCGTAGGCCCCAAAGCGAATGCTATAGTTTCATTTTCCCTTTATATTTATCATGGTTCAAGGCACATTTAAAATAAGTCAGATGATTCCACTAGTGTTCTCTGTGGCTGGCTCAGTTCACAAAAGTTCATATATTTTTTTTAATAGGCTCAACTTGACATTCTGCTCAGTAATGTTGATAGATTATAATAATTCTGTAAGAAACTACTAAATTTTCAATTATAACATAAAATATATACATGCGAACTTCACTTAGCAATAAAAATATTTTTGAAATTTTATAGATAACTTTTTTTATAGATGAATAGTTTTGTTAGTTTCAGGTAATCGATTATTGTTTCATAGTATTTAGATATCAATTCAACAAATATATGTTTGATTACAAGTATCAACATACAGATTGGTGCTTTTATTTTATTTTCATGCCAGACACCTAACTCACATACACAATCATAGCATTTTATGGTTAGAGATCGGCTTACATTGGTGCTTTTATTTTATTTTTATACAAGACACCTAACTCACATAGAGATCGGCTTGCAAGTGACCATGGGACTGCATTGCAGCTGGAACAGCTTATTGTGCATCCTCATTCTGCATGAAATCCCAGGTCCTTTGTGAACCACTGGATAAGCTTCCACGGTCACTTTATGTGGAATCGAGGTTTTCCAAGGACGACCGTGTCAATAACGATGGACTAAACACATACACTCACCAACGTTTCGGTCTCGATATAGATCACTCGATCATTTTATTTGTAATCCGTGGTAAGTAACGCCGCCCTGAAGATGGCACTAAGTGATTCGTCCTTTTTGTTGACACCTTTAGAAGACGTGGAACAAATATATTTTATATTTTGCCATAGTTTTGTTTTTCAGATTGCTATTCCCATATTGTAGTTGGTCATTGACTTTTTTTTACTTATTTTATTTATTTGCTGTATGACGTTATTATTGTTGTGTAATAGCATTGTTTTCTGCAAAATTTGTATTCAAACAAGTCAAAACATATTTTTTAGGTGTTGATGGCATTACGGATGAGATGTTGTCATCAAGAAGAGAGCTGATCAAACTAGGGATGGAAGAGTCACACATAGCTAAGAGAATTTTATATTACCAATGTATCAAGTAAACATTTATAAAACGTTTTGTAAAATGCCTCTGTATACATCAGCAGAAAAATGTTTTTATGTATGTGAATTTGTTGTTCAAAGGTTTATTGCGGACATTTTCCATCACGAAAGTAAAAAACAATACACAACGTTTCGGGATCTGGAATCTGATCCCGTCTTCAGGTGAAAAAACTTAACTAACACATTACAACTAACAATACACAAACGCCCAACCTAAGTTGGAATACACTACCGAGGGTAGTAGTCAAAAAATATGCACTGTATAGCAGTCAAGTCATGATACAACATGCAATTAATAACAAATCACAAAACACTATAATCTATAAAAGGTTTACGTACAAAAAACTCACACAATGGAACACTAACAACACCGTACGCTATGACTCCACCAATGAAACTGAACCAACATGGCTGACCAATCGGAAACACGGAGACAACAGAAATGGCTTCCGGTCCCTGGAAAAGTAAAACCAACAGAATGGCGGAGCGATTCTGTTCTGTTCTGAAGACGGGATCAGATTCCAGATCCCGAAACGTTGTGTATTGTTTTTTACTTTCGTGATGGAAAATGTCCGCAATAAACCTTTGAACAACATTAACTCACCATCACCAACAATGAACTTCAAACAAAGAGTATGTGAATTTGTTTAAGAGATAAACATGTTTTATATTGCTTAGCTGAAATCCACAATAAAACAAATTTTAGACCACCGATCTGTTAGAAGACGGGAGAGCTATACAAACACTAAGAACAAGTATTATGGACAAGCTCTAGTTATTATTTTCATACATAAATCCGCGCTTTAAATATTCTGGAAAAGAGGCTTGTATTATTTCTTTCTATCTCTCTAGGTCTAGTTTTAAATAAAAGGCCAGAACTATCTTTAGGCCTTCTCAAATATTCGAAGGAAAACACTCAAGTAAAACTGACAGAAATTATTTTTTTTTTACTACAGATATTCATTATTAAAGGTTATTAGTGTAGAATTGTTGGAGATAAAGTAAATGTAATACTAAAATATTTACTAGGTCTTTAGTTTGTAGCTAAACATAATATGTTTATTCCATAATATGTAAACATTATTGTGAAATAAACCAACTCTTTACCAACGTACTTCACAAATCTTAAAATGTATTACATTGAGTATACAATGGTATTGGGCATATTATTTAGCAGTAGATAGTTACATGTTTAGTTTTAGTTCCCTATCTTTAATCCTTCAATATCTTTAAAATAAAATAAAAAATATTCAAATATTTGAATAAGTGTATATATAGTTGAGACAAGAAAGTAATTTTATTTACAAGAAAAAACTAACAAAATACAAAATTACAAAATGAAATTAACTATGACAACTAATGCAATACTCTTGTAACCAAAACAAATGACAAACAGCAAAACTACTGAACAAAAAAATACTATGAGTAAGCAATAAAAATCGTATATTGTTAATTCACTTGCTGATGTTTATCGACTATTTAAAAGTTTACTTTAGTGAATTACGTTGTGGAGTGTGGTGCCACTTGATTGCAGATAGCTTACATAATACAAGTTGTGATTGACAATAAAACGTTAAAACAAAACAGATGAGCAAAGAGCCAATATTTTTTTTGTATTTTTTATTTTTTTTTCAGCAACAATAAACAAATCATGTGTGCATAGGCATTAAAATTTGTGTTCGTTAGCCTTAATCACCAAGGAAATATGTGAACACTTGAGACTAATAGAGTAAAACTGGGTACAAAATACATTTTTAATAATAAATAATTTGTTAATAAGTTTGTAAAAATATCCTGTTCTTAAAAACGCCTATGAATTTGTGAGGCCTAATGTATACTAAGTGGCCAAAGTATATCTAATCCATTCCTGGATGATATTACCCCAATAAATTACAGGGAAAGTTGTTGTTATCTATACATCCCTAAAGTCCTCTAACATACTTCTCCATTATACGGATTCATCTAGCCTACTACACCCATGAGAAATAATCAACACCGAAGTTTTGTCGCATGGGTGAACTACACCCTAGGACATTGTATTGAAACTTTGTAACTTAAGTAATTATACTATAAAAACAAAAAACAAAACAGGAAGATTTTGTATTGAAAAGAAATAAAATATCGTTTCAAATAATATTACATGAACTGGTAAAATACAATATTTAATTACCTTAATTAATTACCTTAATTACCACTGCGTCGCCGATGACCAGATGATCTGGATAGGCTGTGTCAATTCATGTCTAGGCTATCTTGCATTGCGGATGGCTCCTCTCCAAGGTTCCCTCATCAATTCGTCTGTGTCAAATAGGGGGTCCACCAGGAGTCTCTCCCTTGCCAATCTTCCAAGCTGGGCATTGTTCGCCTGCTTTACTTCAATTGGGAGTCTATTGAAAAGTCTCACTGCCATAACTGGGAAGCTGTTCAGTGACTTAGCCAGTCTGCATCTTAGCACATCCAGATCGATAGCTCTTCTAGTGTTGTGCTGATGTACTGCACCACGCTGTATAAAATCGCCAATGCTCTCCTTAACGTAGCAGACGCAGTCAAGTACATATTGACTAAAGATGGTTAGAATGTTAAGAGAGGAGAACAGAGGCTCATTTGTTATAATGATTAGGGGGTTTTTTTACAGAGGGCCAGTCTTACAAGTAACCATGGGATTGCATCGCAGCTGGAACAGCCCTCATTCACAGGTCCTCATTCTCCATCAAATACCAGGTCCTTTGTGAACCATTACATCCTTTTAACTATGGTAACCTGTTCTTCCCTTTGATCTCCAGTCGATAGGCCAAGGGATCTCATACGCGGACCTTGTAAGGCTGGGCACATAAATATCATAATTAAAGGTCATATATATTTCGAACGATTGTTGCGAACATCATGACAATTTGTAGACAAAAACAATGTTTTACATTATTTCCGAATCAAATACTTTATTTTGTCAGGTGAGAGAGTTACTTAAATTATAAAATAAATCAAATATATCATATATATATATACATATAATATGAATCATTCATTCATTCATTCAACAAGGAGGGTAACAAACCACGACAATGGTACATAAAAAGAAAAAGGACAAGGAGAACGGTTTTGAAGGCAAAAAGAAAAAATATAGTACCATGAATGAAAAATATAATATATCCTACATTTTGATGGTTTTTACTCCCAACAAAATGGAAACATCTGGATAAAATGATGGTTCAAGCTTTATTTATATGTTGGTAGTAAAATCTTATTTATTTACTCATAAAGATAAAATACCCGGAATGATATTATGATCTAATATCACACTCTTACATTTATTAAAATTTAATCTTCAAATACGCCATAATTTGTTTGCATTTCGTTTTATATAATGGCAAAATACGAGCATATCAAAAACTATATAAATAAAGAAAAGACGCTGAACAATGTATTAAAACATGTAAAATGCCACGTTTTCTAAGGAATAAGGTGCTTTTGTAGTGTAGCGCAACAAAAGAATCAGAGCAAATACGTGTTTCTTCACATTCTCGATACAATTTGTTCCATGAACAGGTGAGCACCTGTTTCTACATGCTGAGTGATTCGAATACTTTATTTCCTTTTGTATTGTTGAAGCTTCACTGATGAAAAACATCGCAATGTCAAGGAAAAAGTAAAGTATCTAGACTAGACATTAAATGTATTCGTGCATAGTCTATCGCCTTGTTTTTTTTTTACTTAAATTGCATGTTACCTCCTTGGTTATTTACCATTTAGTTTGTTATATATTTAAATTTTACTTACTGATATGCGTTTAAATAAATCTTGCCTGACAATGCTTAAGAAAGACTATAATATTCAACAAGGACAAAAGGCTTGATCTGACAATACATGTAAATGTTAAATGAAAACAAGTAATATGTCACAAAAAGACAGACATCACCTCTATTTTATAATAGTGTAGGTAGATAGAAGATTACCGCTGTAAATAAATAACACAATTTTCAGTTTGTTTAAAACAATTCTTTATTATTTGCTAACATACTTTAAATGAACCAAAATGAATTTTGTTAATTGATATTGCATGTTAATACTAAACGTTAAATCTGGCTATTATAGTAAATAATGAATACAGTTTTTTCCAAACAATGTGACGTGAAATCGTCATGATGGAATACGATTCATTATCTTTTGACGAAGGTAGAAGTTTCCCAAAACGCTTCAACTGAACTATATTACCTGAAGCTTTGTTCATGCAACAAATGACTGTCTCCAACACTCTATTGTCAAGTCCCAACGCTAAATGCGTGATTTATTGGTCTACAGTAGCAATTGTTTAGCGCCTATCTTTCTTGTCACAATGGAATAAAAGCTTATAGCACTTATATTTTACAATATGCAGTCAGTCTACGTTTAGTTTGACAAGACAGTACTTAATAAAAATGTACTATGTATAGGTAAGTCCGTAAATGACTTGGTTTTTCGGATGTAAAGGATATTCAGTATGATTAACAGACCAAAGAAACCCCTCAAACTAGCCCTAATGGCTCTTTAAAAACTTTAAATGCTCATACTTACAATAAAACATGCAAATGTTGCACCTGAAGATGGAAATTCAATTTGCTCCAGGCATTTACATAACAATTTTACTTTCCATTGGACTCAATATAATTTGTAATAGATACGTAGCCTATATACAGAATGTCCCGGATTTCTCTACCAAAATGTTAGAGAGTTGTTTCTGAGTAAGAAACATATCTAAATACCACATTAATATTGTCCGGAAGTCCTTGTTTACTCACATAGCCACATCTTTGTTATATTCACTTTATAATTTCCCCAAAAAATGGTTTAATGAGAAAATTAAAAAGTGAAAGTATGATTTACGTGTTTGGAAAACTATTCAGAATAGTGTCAACAATATTAAAAATTTAAATAAAAAATTGTATGGTTTTGGCATAAGTTTAAAAATTATGAAAAATCGGTTTTTTACGAAAAATCCTGCAACTTTAGCCCTTTTGCGCGATTTCAGTTCGATGGGATTGGGTCTAATTTTTATTTATATGCATTAAGGCCACTCTTTGAAGCACTTTTTTTACTATTAAAAAAAAATTGAAAAAGAATTGTTACGTGTTTTTAAAAATTACCTGTAATTTCATTTTTTTGGTAACTTTAAGCGATTTCAAAATTTTAAAAAAATCATTATTTTTCCCTTTATGCGCAGGTTTTCCTCGCTATTAGAATTTGATTACAAAAAAATAAGAAATTCGAGCCACTCTATTAAACATACGAAATAAAAACTTTTCACCAAACTTAATGACAACTAAACAAAGCTACTAAAGGGCTATGATTATTAATAGATTTTGATTGAACAAAGCAAATTTATGTATTTCATACCATGCTACTGTATATATATTTGACATAAAACATACTGTATTACCCTCCCTGTAGCAGCAAACTTAAGAACTTGTTAGATTGAATGCTATTTGTATAGATTTGTGAAAATTGACTCAGGCAAATGGAAATTCGCTTAGTCTGCAGGTTTGCTGTAATTGTTTTCTCCGTGGCCAATAACCGTACAAAATCACTTCAAAATACTAAATAATTATTGTTTTATTATGTTTTAAAAAATGGCTTAAAGAAAATTTAGAAAATTCTATGTTTTGAGTATCACAAAATGAGATAAGCCACTTTTTACCCAATAAAACCCCCGGTTTACACGGTTGTTCAAAATCAAAATCGGATGATTTTAGCTCGAGTTATCTTGCTAACGGACACATGCATTGAAACGAATGCTCATTTTTACCTCTGGGGACATCAAAACAAAAAAAGTAAATCCAGCTTAATCTCTAAATGGCAAATCCCTAAAAGTGAGTTTTAGATGTTATTTTGATATATGAATGTTTATTGTACCTTGGAATCTGTATGCTCAGACAAACTGCATATTTTCAGTGTTAAGAACCAATAGTACACTTTTAATAAAAAATATTGTATCAAAAACTATTTTCATATTATATCTTGCCTCTTCTTCTTAAATAACAAACATCCGTTATGAAATGTTTACATTTGTAATGATAAACTATTTAAACCATATTTATTATTACTATGGACTTTGGTGCAAAACCTTAACAGAATTTTTAACAGATGCATTTTACCATTTGATATGCTCTGGTTTTAAACGTACAAAATCCCAAAGCGGGTCATAATACTATCATTCGTCAACGAGGCTTACGTTCTTAGACAACGTCACCATTTGTTTTCCCTACCTCACAGGGATTTCGTTTATCTTCAGATTATCGCTTACTTATGTGTAATCTGCGATTGCTGGAAATAAATTATATGAATTCATAACAATGGGAAAAAATCGGGTTTTTATTCCCAAAAAATTATATTTCAAAGTTGCAATATCCCAAATAACAATTATGTATTGATTTGCCTATGATCATATGTATATAAACAGAGAATATTAAGAAAACATTTGATAAATATTCAAAGGTAATAACAAAGTTGCATTACTAAATTGATGTATCGTGCTGTATTATTTTTTATCAGTGCTAAATGTAAGATCACCCATAAGTTCAATGGAGATCACAAATTGTTATGGATTCTTTGCAAATTTTGATGAAATTTGGTTTGAAGGTGTAAGGTGGGTTCAACTTGAGTGATTCTCGATCCAGCATAATCTGACCATAGAAACAGGGTTTTCCCGAGGGGGGGGGGGGTTTATGGGGTGAAAAAATGTGGTTTCTCATTTATGACCCTCAAAACACAAAATTTCCCAATTTATCTCTAAACCATTATAAAGAGCTTAAAAAACAAATAATTTAGTATACCAAAGTGTTTGTGTACGGTTTTGTACGGTTATTAGGTTATTAGTTGCAGACAAATTTAAAAACACAGCAAATTTAAAATTCCTATGTTATTTTTTTGAAGAATATTGAAAAATATTGTAGTTTACTTGTTTATTGAAATATTTTATTCAAACTTGGCAAATTTTTTTTGGAATTAGGTTAGGCGACTGACCCGATGTCTGTGGAATAAATACATGGTGTTCAGACATTTTAGACCTAACTTCTTTAGTGATTCCTTAGTTCAAAATAAGCAAAAAGGAGTACAAACATATGCCCTATCTCAGTTAGTTTATCATCTGTTAGTTTGCATAAAATCATCACGCCTTAACGGTTTAGGCTACATCAAAATTCTGCATAAATGTTAATTTTACTGCTATTAAATAAATTGATACCAAATCTCACGAAAACTGGTTACTTTACAAAAGAAATTCAATCTACGTCTAAATTAGTTAATTTTATATAAATTCCATTAATGTCTGACCAAACTTGGCTGAAAAACGAAAGACTGATAAATCAAATCCTTGCTTTACTTACAGATTTCTTTCAACATTGATTGGAGAAGAGAACTTGTAAAACACACTTGATTAACCACTGGTAAAATATACAATAAGTAAAAATGTGAATTCAAATACAATGAACGATTGCCAGGGTTTTAAACTACATTCTGATTAAAGGTAGTTTTAAATGCTCTATTCGTCTTTTTCGCTGTCTGTTTGGACCATTTTTAAACCCTTATTTGTCAAACTCCCTAATCCCAACAAGCGGATAATAATACCTACATTCGTCAAGAGGGCTTACAACCTAATGTTATGTCACCATTTATTTTCTCAACCTGGAGGTAATACGATTATTTTTATCTTGTCTAGAATTTAGTATTTTCCTAATTGCCTAATCAGCTTTGTAATAAATTAGGCAATGAAGAAATATTTCCCCAACGCCTTAATTTACTAACAACAAAATATATTTTCTGATAATTATCATCCATTTTTATTTCCATTTTTATGAGATGATTCCTCGTTGTATAGGAATGTGTTTAAACCGTATTTTATTTTATTATATTTTATATAGTTTATCCAATTTGAGACGATTAAGTATTACAGTATTATTAAAAAACGATTACCGGAACCTAAATAGTGTTAAAAATGTACATATATAAATTTACTATATAAAATATTAATTTAAAATTTAATCTGATCTCTTTGACATTCTTTTACCTTGTCTTATAAGTAAATTTTACTCACTCAATTCTAATCGAATAAATATTCCATTAAAATTGTCAACAAAACTATATTGGGCCTACTCGTACTTGATCTATGAAAAATCTCAATTTGTGTAGGTAATGATAATACACATGGTGTTTAAGTGCAAATAATTTAGTACTGTACAGTATAATTAGCAGTGGTTTTAAATTTAATGTTAGGCCTAAATCTGTTACGGGCGAACAAATTTAACAAAGTATTCTATAATTTAACTGATAAAACCTAGCTGATTGGTCCGAAATAGTGTAAAACCAAGTTACAAAAGATGTAATAACTGGAGGTAAAGTTAGAGGGAGAGGATTATACATGTTTGTATCATACCAACATCCATCTCTATATTTATTAAAAAGCACAATGAAGGCAGTCGTACGTTCTTCCAAAAGCCGGTTTGATTTCAAAAGGATTTGTCTATTGATGCTTCTTTGTTACGAATAAAATTTCGTTCTAGTAAACACTGGCATTCACTAAAACGTTCTAGCGAGAAGAGTATTTGTAATACTTTGATAATCAAACAAACGCTTTATGGTTTCAATAGGTATAGGGCATAATTATTTTACGTTAAGATTGTCTAATATTTTTTTTTTGTAAACGTACTTCAGCAAAAAAAACACATCAAATAAATTTCTTTATACATGAAACCAAAAATGTATTTAATCTTATAAGTAAAAAATAGCCTTATGCTTTTGGAATATTCACTTCTAAGCCCATAGGTTGAATATATGCTATAACATCAACCCTAGAATGTTAGGCTATTCATTATTCGGATTTTAAATATTTCTTCACCTAGTTGACGAGGCAACAAATGCATACAATCACAATATTCGATAACTTTGTCACATGCTTTTTGACATGGAGGCCTTTCCTACACTGTTTTTAACGTTAGTACATAACCGAAAAATTGTCTGTTACATTGATGTTTACTCCTTATCTTGTATAAATAAAATAGGGGTAGCAAAGTTTTGTTTATACTATTGTCAACATCTCTGACTATGTAGTATGCTTACTGATATTTGGCTGTTTAAAAGGGTTGGTTGCATTTGATTTGTTTACAGTGGAGGGAGTGGTTAAAAGTTGTCAGGCCGAAAATAGAACTATAATCCTAGTTTTGTGAATATAAGGATAGATATTTATCTTAGACTGAGCTATAAATCATAGTTTCTGCATGAGCACATAGCTAAACACATTTTAAATCGTTAGGATGTCAAAAAATCTTTGGCATACGTGTCTCGCCCTGTAACCTTTAAAGTCTCAGCCCTACTACCATTAAGTTGTATATGAAGCATAAAGAATTAGTTCTTAACATTAGATGTCGTGCAGTATCCTATATGTAGACTAGTCAATCGATTTTGTTTCAAAAGTTAATTGTCAACTTATGGTGTGTTATTTAATCATACATTTAAGTGCATCAGTACATTTAATACAAAATACACAATAAAAATGTAAGTTTAAATATTTTTTTTTATGGGAACAGTTTAGTTAATATAGCGTTCATAATTATTGTACAATGAAACGTGTACTTTATGTAATAAGTTGTTAATTCAATAAAAGATTAGAGATTTACAAAAATCATATATGGTTGATTCCTAGAAGCCTTTATTGTTGCTTCAGAAAAACTTAATATGAAAAAAACTTATAGGCCTGACTAATATTTTAAAATGCCATAGAAAATATTTTTAGACAGATTTTAGATCGATCGATCAAATTCCTGGTATGTCATGCACAATATTTTCATAAGCCGGTGGTCCCCTTATTTCATTTATTCTGACAGGATCTTCAAGGTATTTGCAGCGTTCCCCAATCCGCAGAAGCTCAAACGCAATCGCAGTCATTCTAATTGGTACATATTCATCTGCAACAAAGAATATGGTTTTATAATATTATACTAGACCACGTTAAGCCCGCCCATTGGAATTAAAATCAATTTAAATAGTTTATAATATTTTACAAATACCTATTTTTACAAATAAGTAGGTGTAAATAAGTAATTGGTTGAAAACTTTACACTGGAAAACAAATATACAGATTCAATCTTTTGTAAGTATGTGTGTTTTGTATGTATGTGTGTTTTGTATGTTTGTGTTTTGTTGTCTTTTGTATGGGTTTTGAATGTGTGTGTTTTGTTTGCAGTATTGATTTCAGACAAACTGTTGGTCTTACAATTATGAAATAAAACATGTTACCTCTAAACCAACCCTAAAGAATAACTTAAAAAGGTACTTAAATGTTTTTGAATACAGAAATCTAGAGGTTGATCAGTTCAAATCTCACTTTTGTCAAGTACAAATATATATCCTACTAAGCATGGTTACTAAGCTCTTGTTGATACAAACATTTTGGTGATTAGTTAAAAAATGGCGGCTCTTTATGTGGAACATTTGGTACTATACTCTACATTAGTCTTTAAAATGCAGATATATCTATTCTGATTAAGGTTGCATTCCTTTTGATCCAAGCTTCAATTTAATGTGTGATATACAATAATGTCCCAAAAATAAATGTCAAAGTAAATTTTTGTTTTTAAAATTGAGAAGTCATAACTGAAAAATCTCTATTACACCTTATGTTTTGCTGCTAATGAGATATTTTCAGGATAGTGAACAAATCTATTACTGTATTGTCACTCACACACAAAATATAAATAAATAAATAAAATCATCCGAAACCAATATTTTTTATCCTTGTGATACTGGTGATCACTTGACGTTCATGGGTACAGTCCCATGAACTTGCCAGTACAGTCCCCGGCGTTCGTGGGTAGACAAAATTAAGGTACTTTAAACCTAAGGTAGTGAATACAGTAACGTCTAAAAATGCATAAACCACCTCGTAATACACTAAATGACGCATGACCTGCTTGTTTATTATTTCTATTAATATTCCATTGGAGATCACGATAGGCCATAATGTTTATGATAAATATGTATCTTAGTATACATACGTCCTTCAAATCTGCCAATGAACCCAAAGTCAATCCGTTTGTGCCTGTATGCAGAGTATTTTAGAGTTTCGCAGGGTCTTACATTCCATCCCCTTCCCTCATATACATTGTAGTCCCCACCAATGAGAAAGCTTTAACATAGAGACATATAATAGTAATTTCAATATAATGTTTGTCCAAATAAAATCATAATATTGGAATATTGAATGATACTTTGCTAATACTAGAGAGTAGTTGTTATACAGTTATAGGCGTAAGAGTATTCAAGCCTTCACTAAAAAGTGGTAAAAACAGAAACTATGATATTTTGGTTAACCTTTTGTGCAAGTGTTGAAGATTTTAATTTAAAATATAATTATTTTACATCCAAAACTGGGGATAAATGTTCAAATCGTTAAAATGTCTATTTAGAATAAAAATCTTTATATCGTATGGCTACATTTTTAAAACATTGAGCATTTCCTATACATTATGGTACCGTACATAATGATTTCATACGCAACCACAAAGATAGAATGTCGAAAAGCACATTAACTACCTACTCTAACCCTCATGTGATGGTACTTACATACTTGTATTTTATGTCGTCTGATCCTTCATCCATATGTTTCTTCTGCATGTCTCTTACCACTTCAGCACATTCCTCTGTGGTCTTACATTCGTCTGTTTGTATATCATACGTAAATATCACCCTTTCCCCGCGATTTGAGAGTATTTTGAAACCTTTCGGAGGCAAAGCACCCCATTCCTCCCTAGTGAAAATTTCAAACTTTTCAACCGTGTCCAAAGGATTCGGAAGCTCGTCGCCCATTTTAAATTATAGTCTTCAGTCCAAATAAGTCGTGGTTAAAATGTATTCACAGTTTATTCTGTTAACCATCCCTTAGTGACCCAAACACACAATTCATATGTACAAATAGTTAGTAAAAACATTTTGCCAAGTCAAACTACAACATAAAACAAAACAATCATTATACCTCGTGTAAAAACCTTATCATCTTGAATTTAGGTTAAAGATTTTAATCGAAATCTAATTGAAACACTAAATGAATAATTAACTTGTAGTCGCCAATATTATAACGATACAAGATCATGTTATCAAGTCATTGATAAAACTATATCTTTTACAATATTGTAACATGATTTAATAGATTTCTAAGAAACCATAATATATATTCGATGAAATAATCATCTAAATTTAAAATTGTGTGACCTCTTATTAACACAAAAAAATATATAAGAAGTAAAAGTATATAAAAAGTATATAAGAAGTTGTCATGCAACTAACTTTAAATTTAAGAGTTTTATCTTTTTATTTGCAGCTTCTAGAAAGTATAATAGTTGTTTACCAAGTATCAAGTTATTTGTTAAGCTTAACAGTCAGGAAAATAAAGTTAGCGTGTTGTAACAATGTTTGTAACTATGGAAACGACTTGTTACACTTGTTCAGAATCAGAAATACATGTTGCGACAAACAAGTTTCCCTTAAATTACGTGACATTCTAACAGCAAAGTTTGTTTCTCTTTATTTATGTGCATGCACATGTATAGTGTCCGATTTAAATGTGACATATGGTGGAATGCAAACTTTAGATAGAAATAGGTATTTTTAAGTTATTTTTCTAAGTAGTCGTTTCATACATAAAATTAGATGTACTTAGCAATATTTAAATTAAATACACATTTAAAAACGCAGTTTATTTGAAAAAAAAACAAAGTAACTTTTTTTACATTCATAAACTCCAATTATTATAAATCCCTTTACATCACGAAGTTGCTGGTAAAAGAAAGGGATTTGACAAAAAACAACGAGTACACTTAAGTTCTCTTCTGAAATCATTATTGAATAACTTTTAAACTTTCAAACAGATGATTCAAAGAAACTATTTACTTTTGTATCTTTTCGTACTGTTACTAAATATTCCCTTATTAAATAAAATATTACATAGCTATCAGATTTTTTTTTACAGTAATATTTTACAAATTCTTAAGGAATTGTTCAAAATTGTAAATAGATGTATGATAGTCTCTAACACTCCACATTTTTCGTAACCCCCTTTGATCATAAGGTGCGTAGATCAATTTATAAAGAAGAACAATTTCGCACAAGACCACTCTTCCTTGTGAACAAACTGACTTGATCTAATTAACAATATTTAGTATTCCGCATCGATCGTTGCAGGAACGTCAGCTCTGTATCCTGGAATTTCCAGGGGAGGTTCTTCGTTCCTTATTTCGTAATACGAGTAAAACTCGTCTACGATTCCTTTTCTAACCCCAAGCTCTACTACATCGTACATCCCAAGCTGCACGGGAACGGGAACATCATCATCTGAAACATGCTATGCATTAGCTTTTATAAAGACGAAAGACTTATTGAGATAGCCATAAGGCCATGACACAACTGGTAATTGTTCCAAAGTTGAGAGTAAATATAAAAAAAATAATCTTTAGCTGGATAATGTTTTTTTTCTTTCCCTTGAAACTAGTTTTTACAGCAGTCATTGACAATGAAACATAACAAATGTATGCTCGGCATACTAGTATGAAACACATTTTGTACAGAATGTACTCCATAGAAAAGCTGATAGAGGTTTAAGTTACCTGATTATATTTAAAACAATCGAGAAACAAAACAAACATGAAATAGAATAAAAATCGCAATTTATCGACCTTCCCCCGGTTTCGTGACTCGTGTCAAATCGACCAGTTTTTTTAGTGCATCGTCAAGTATTAATCGTTTTAATGTATTTTTCGATTTGTTTCAATTCCCAACAAACTCCACATGAGGGCTACTTGCACGACATTTTGACCTGAATATTTGCTCCATTTTGATAGCACGAAACAGCTGTAGTCGTGGTAACCTACCAATTATCAACATGTAGATTAAATATCTATTAGTTAAGTCATACGATCCAGAGGCCATTCTATTATGAACTTTAAATATCCATTGCTTGTCTTTTGGCAACACAAATGAACTCATTGCGTTACAGTAAAGGATGTTTATCTTATTTCCATATAACGGCAGGTTACGGTGACATTCTCAGCAACTTTTTCAATGTTTAGACCAAGTCTAGAACTATCTAGGGGAACAGCTAATTGTATACATTCAACCTATTCAAGATATCTTCCAACGTACCATATACACAATTTAAGTTACAATATGGTACATTGAGTTCCTTTTATGCTTTCAGTACATCGTGAAAGTTACACAGGATATACAAATTACTTTGTCATGTTTTTATTGTTCATACCATGCAAAACTGTCTAATCCAAACATCCACACGACCACTATCTGCTTTTCTACTCATGTACAATTTATACTTACATGACTCGTATCTCCCAATGATAGCTACATCCATACGTTCCCAGTCCTCCTCGCCTTTGATAGGCCAAGGATACGTGATAAGAGAACGTAGGCTTGGGCAGGGTTTGAAGTCATATCCTCTTCCTTCATATGCTTGGCCATCCCCTCCTATTAAGAAACTGTAAAGATTTCAATGTGATGGATTATTTTCCTAAAGTTTGGTGAAATTAAAAGAGACACTATGTAAAAATAAGCTGATTTACATGTATAAAAATAATGCTCCCTCATTTTTGGCCGTTTTTTTCATTCTGAGAAATATACCCGTATTGAAAGGGGAAGTTATACCAAAAAATTGTAAAAAAATTATATATGTATTCGCTAGATTAATTAAAATCTCATTTATAAAAAAAACAAACATATCAACTGATTTAGCTGCTTAGTAATCTATTCATAGAACATCATGCGTTCAATTTGCATTAAACTAAATCACCAAATATTTATTCAATGTCTGCAATTAAGTCCAATTAAGTTTTTAAATCCTCTAATAGCTACATTGAAAATAATATCTAACCATGTTAATCATGGTTTGGACCAGTATTGGTTGACTTTTGAAAACTTAAGTAGGCCCTGTAATTCTTGTCAAGGAGAAACTTTCATTCAAGATTAGACCATTTACTATATCACCAGATACAGCTTTGGGAGCAAAGTAATGATCCATATTAGGGATTTAAATTGATATTAATCGTAAATAATTAACAAAGCCCACTTGGAAAAAAACTATTTTAGGTTAGATACAGGAGGTATTTAGTATCAGAAACCTAATATTACTTCGGGTTGGCTTGAACTTACTAGGTCTGGTCTTGGCTATTGAAGTTTTTCAGATTTTTTCACCATTGAAGTGTATAAACATAATTTGTTCATTATATCGTCTTTCTAAACAAGTCCTTACACCATAATGAGATAATTGACCTTTGCATAAAAACCTATATTTCAAACAATAGCATGAATATCCAAATCACAAAATAAATGTCCCTTGCAATTAATTAATTATAATGTTCAAGAAGAACTGGTAATATTGGAATTAATATTAATTTGAAATAACGACTTCACCAATATTTTTGAATTTTTGTGATGTGTCTGATGATGCCAGCATAGCTGGAGAAAGGCCTCATAAAAATTAAAAATTCAGAAATATTGGTGAAGTTGTTATTTCAAATTAATTATAATCTATTGATAAAATAATGGTAGTTACTTAAACTTTATGTCATCAGATCCTTCGAGTAAGTGCCGTTTCTGCAGCACTTGCATTGTGTGAATACAGTCAATCCAGCTAGTACACACGTCCACGTCAGTGTTGAAGTGGAACATGACCTTCTTGATGGGATGGACCATAGGCACCTCGTTCTTCGGATAGGTAGCTTGACCAGACCAGTCTATCCGTGGGTATATTTTCGCCATTTTGTGTTGGTAAGGCTTCGGAGGATCTGCTTCCCCGGCCATGGCTTATACCTTAAACTGTACGTTTATATGTGTATTTAAGTTCGGAAGAATCGTTTGACACACTTTACAAAATTTTACTAAGTTTAAGCAAATCACCGTGAGAATTAAAAAAAAAATATCTTAATCCCAGAGATGGTTCTTGAAACCTAATAATGTATCTTTTTCTATTAATATGAGCCTGCAACTTTGGTTGCACTGGTTTACAGCTGAATTTCATTAGTGGTGGGCTACCTGACTTCAAGATAGAAGTCTTGCAACCAAGACCAGCCACACCTCTATTTGGTAGTTAAAGGTAAAAACTACCACAAATTTCAAATATTATAGAAATATTATGGTAGATTTTAAATAAAACTGTTATAGGGTCCTCCGTAATTCATATTACAATTTTCTTTATCTCATGACATGTATTAGGAATGTCTCATTGTGAAAATGCTAACCATTTTAGCCGTTTAACAGCATAATATTTTATATAAATTATTCCAAAATAAAATGTATTTTAATAGCACGAACACCTTAATGGGTTAAATGTTATTAAATAGACATAAAATTATTTGATTTGTTTCACATTTTTTGTTTGAGAATTTTCCATACACTTAAATTTTTTTATAAACAACGTCAAGATTTTGTCATAGTTCAAGAGTTTTTATTCCAACAGTTTTTTTACAAAACAATGTTACAAATAAAAGGTACCACGAAGTATTTCTAAATTAATATACAGTATATATTTTTTTACAAAAAACTAATTTAAATCATTTACTCTGACAAAACATAAATACAATTCGAACAAATAAGAAAAATTGAAAATTATTAACAGAATGTTACAAAAACTACAAACTTAATAATATATTATATAATTGACTTACCACTGTTTACACTAGAAAAATATGCAAAGTTTGTAATTTTAAATTCCCATTACTATGACTTAGTACTCAACACCACAGACCTAGATTCTCACGTAGTTTTGTAGATTCTCTATTTGACACTGTGTCTTTACTATATATACATTAAAAATATTTAAAAGGTTAAAGAAGTAACATTTCTTGTAACACATGCCTATAGATGATAACCATGATATACTTATGATATGCTAACAAAACGGATGAGGTATGAAATAACCATAACAATTATCTTCAAATTATAACTGGTGAGAAATTTAAGATAAACAATTATCTATTTTAAGATTGAATAAAAGCATATTTTCATTCCTTCTAAAATTTAAAAACACACACACTACAATGACGCCTACTCAAAAGAAACACGAAATAAGTTATAGCCATGAGAAAACTTGGTAAATTTAATTCACAACCAACTGTTAGTATATCATGTATTTTGACTTCTGACCCCTTTTAAAATTATACTTAGGAACGATAGTGACAAGTAACGTATCTACTTATTTGTGTTCTACAAAAAACATAACACCAAAAGCATCTGTTTTTATGGTTTAACATATATATTACAGTATCCTAGATCACTTAACACCTCAACGTCTTTTAATCAGACCCTTCTGGTAATCAGAGTTGAGATTATTTGTCGTATTTACAAATGATTCGCCCACAAAAGAAGACTATACATAGCTTAAAGTTTGTAATATTGTTAATTTACAATTTTAAAGTTGTTTTTTATTTTTTTCCAAAAAATCTTGATTCATGGCTATTGAAATAGAAGCACGAGAATAGGCTATAAACAGATATAATTAAAGTCCTAATCTTAAAATACAGTGGATTTTTAGATTTTTAGGTTCCTAATTATATTAAACATTAAATGTCGCGATGAAAACGATTGGTTATATAAAACAGCAAGATGTTTATAAGATTAATTTGTAATTTGTTATATATATTTTAATTTTTAAGTTGGATTGGCGTCAAAGGTTTTCATTTGACTGTAAATAGTATTACTTACACCTATAAAGTCAATGCGTATACCATTGACTTTTTATCTACAGACAATGCTTATACATTTTTGATAGAACTCATGAGTTTAGCCACAGGTATTACAAAATACGTTGATATGTTAATTAACTTATTTGTACTTGAAATAATAAGGTGATAAATACAACCTAATTTCTAGCTAGATTAGTAAATCGTTGAAATATATGTTAATTTTATTTTATTTAAAATAAATAACATATTTTGAGTATTTATTAATAGATGAGTTTTGTACAAGAACAAAATAAATAATGCTTGTTTCTGTCGATATTTTCAAATTCACAATACCCTCAAACAAAAAATCATATTGTAATAAGGCATTCATGAGAACGTTATCCTATTATCCAGAAAATAATTATTAGTGTAAGTTAATACTGTAAGTAATTTAATGTAAAACATCAACATTGATAAACTTCATTTAGATTTTTTGAGACAGTTGAAAAAATTACCCTTTAATTTCCAAAAATATTTTAATAATTATAAAACTATAATAAAAAATACATATTATTAGTGCTAAATTAAAACCCTTCCTTAATAACTAAAACATGAACACGAGTCATACATTGAAATGCAATACTACGGTTGACAAGGTCTGTGAAAAGCAAACATGACGATGGATCTTTTACATAGTAAATGTTCAAGAATAATCAATCTAAGTCAAACATATTCAATTATTCAACCTAATAGTGTACGGTATACCTGACAACCAAAAACAATGATACCAACACCAACAGCGTAACAATGATTCAACATACTATTGTGACTGAATTTACTAAAATTAAAACATATGGTCAGTAAGATAAATAATGTTTTGTGATTAATCTTTGTTATATTTATATTTTTCTGATAACATTTGAAAGTTCCCATCGATGTAACCATGTTCTCTACCAAAGTCCATCACAGCCCACGTTGCTTGGAAAATTGGATGTTTAAGGTCCTCGTCTGAAACATAGAAGGAGGTTACATATAAAAGCTAGACTACTATTATATTTATACAGTATACAGTTAAACTATTCATTAATTGATAACGCTACATCCTTTAGGTTAAACCCTTAATCCAAAATAGAAGTTTTTATTACTATTTGAATATTGATAATCATTTAGTTTTTTTTTTACAGTAAAATATATATTGCTAGAAAAAAGAACCGCAGGATTAAACTTTTCTAAAAAAGGTAACGATCCAAATTAAAAAATACGTCTAACTTTTCACACGGATCTATAAAAACACGGACACCATAAGACATCAACATTTCCTTTCAAATGTCTGACTACACCCTTTTCCATGCTACCTGTGAATCCAATTGACGAAAAGAGGTACATAAAACGCTTTGACGCATACAAAAACTGACATTTTATCTTCAAGGCAAATTTGGAATTTTTTCAACTATCCAGGTGATAAAAAGTAACATAAATTTGCAAAACAATGTTAAAAAGTTACAAAGAATAAATAAAAATGATACTTACGATTGAAGTCTCCAACGTAAGAGATCTCTAGGAATTTCCCATTGTAGGTTGGAAGTTCTATGGAGTCAGCCGGCTGGAACTCCCATCCTCTTCCTTCATAGATCTTTCCGTCTTTACCAATTAAAAAGCTGTAAACAAATAGTTTATAAATCATACTATTAGTACTGTATACATCATTAATAGTATTTAAGTTGTTAAAAGATTTAGTATTAAATCAATTTAATTAGGTTTTGATCTACTCTGAAGGAAATAAAGTTATAGAAATCAATTTAGTGTTTTAGGTCACAGCAAAACACTAAATCATCAATAAATACCCAGAAATTCTTTTGTGTTCCCATTATGTGAAGAGTCATTTAATTTAATGTTGATCAAATTTGGTGATCCATACCACCAAAAGCAGCAATGGTAATGCACAATTATTAAGGTAATGACAATTAATGGTGATGGATTTAAAAATGTAAAAAATGTAAAGACAATTATTTTAAAATTAGTACTAAGCAACTGCAATACATATAAATATTTGTATTGTATAATTTGCGGGATAAACTAAAACCTTCTACTTTAATCAAAAGTAAGAACGGAGACATTTATTTACATTGAATAGTTCCTTTGCACCCTGCTCAGCAAAAAATATAGTTACATACTTCGTCGTCTCTTTGTTGTGAATTGATTACTTATGTAGTTTTTCCTTCTAAGTTTTAAAATATGTTACATTTTTGTTGTGTTTTACGAATGAAGCTTTTTACCAATGACTATTGTACATTGTTAGTAAGTTATACTTGTCAATGGTTCAGTTAATTACGTTAGTATTAACTATTATTCTTAATTAATAATTTTGAATGTAGGCCTATTTTCGTATCATATTCTGGTTAGCATATCTTTGTCAAGTTGCATTTTAAGGTTGGCTTTAATAAAAAAATAATATTGGATTTATTTTACAAACTAATTGTCATACACAATTAGTAATTAGCTCATTCTTCCTACATGTACTTAGTACTTTTCTTATTTTACATAAAATAAATGAAGGAATATATAAAGGTTGGAAAAACTACGTTTACTAAACAATGGTATGGTTTACTTGCTCTGAATGTCCGGCAGCCCAGCTTCCATGTGTTTGTATTGTATTGTCTGGAGAGCGATCTTGTCATCAGTGATATCAGGTCTGAAGTACGATATCAGGACGTACGGTACAGGATGAATCAGCTTTTCTATCTTGTGATACAGCCTGCAATAAGACAAAAAAAACGGATATTGAAACTTAAGTTGCAAAATCATTCACAATAAAAATATAGGCTTAGATTTTAAAAGTGCGTATATTATGTCTAAACCTTTTGATCTTTTATAGTTTATAGTTGTGCTTTATTTTAAATATATTTATGTAGGGTGAAAATAACTATATCCACGACCGTTTTTTTTTACTATCAGTTTCAGTTCAGTTCTTAGAAATAAAAAGATTAACTTAACAAAATTATTTTACTCTACAACAAGAGCAACGGAGTAATGAGGTTCAAGGATTGAGAGTATACAAGTGAAATTTGTAATGCTTTGAACTTAAACTAGGTCCTAATCAGCTGTTGAGAGCAATTTTATTGTTAATGAGTGGTGCAATTAGTGATTGGTACAATGAGTTGTTGTTCCTCTTTCAGTAGCAATGAGAGAAACGAAAACATGACGACTCTTAGAAGCTATGAGTAGTGATTGTTAGTAACTTAGCACTATCTTTACTCGACCCTTGTATAATCTATAATAACCCTCGCTAAATGTACATAAGGCCGGGTACACAAATAAAGTTTAAACGTTGAGGTTTGTTATGGGTAGATTTACAAGTGAAAGATCATCATTAACATTTTAATTTTAATGTTCATAGGGTGTGGCCAAAGAATATCAATGGCCTTAGATAGACCTAAATATTGGATAGATTATTTATCCAACTTTTGTTTGTACAATTTTATCCCTCTAGATTCAGTTGGTTTTGCATTCAACCTAGATGAAGTATTATGTGTTTTACGGAACCAAATTACATATATCATGAGACACTTTTTAACGACAAAATATGCTCATATTTTGGCATTGCTTTGTTTTCTTGCTACATTGCTAATCAACTGAAATGCATTGTTTCATAGTTATTATAATGTTGTTATTGTTATTTGGAATTTATTGTGAATAAGGCAAAACTGGTTGTTTTTGCAAGCTCGACGAATAAGTACATTAAAAATATTTAAGTGTGATTCTAGTGCCCAAAAAATCTACTGTTGGTATATGTCAAACGTTTAAGAAAATCGGATCTATAGAAAACCAATCAAACGTAGACCTACAACGTAATTTACTCTATTTACCTTACAAAAACACCATGTTGAGTGTTATTTACAATACTTTCTCAATAAAAGATATTATACCTCATGGGCATCAATGCAAAAATTCATATGAGCTGATAAAGAAAATTGGGGTACCAAATTATTAGTCCATTTTTACATAAAAAATCCTCACGGTAGCTCGTATTTTGGTTAAATTAAAAACACCTTTTACTAACATGTTTACAAAACATAAAACAAAGCTTCTTTATAATACTCTTAGATAGGACAAGTCCACATTTCTAAAATCTTTAATTTTATTGATAAAAATAATCCTTATGTCTTAAACTAATGTGAATCACCGTAAAGAAAAAAAAAATACTGATATTTCAGTAAGTATTTTAACCTCATTAAACTAACTATTGGGATAAGTGTATTTGTATTTCTCTAATAATACTCTCTTAAGTAAGAAAATACTGTATTTCTACTCAAATTATGGTTCTAATTATTATTTTGCTTGTAAAATTACGTTTTCAAGAACCAATGAATGAAAATTCATATAATGTTACTTAAATTCTATATTTTTAGGTGTTTTACTAAATGTAATACAAATGTCTATGAAAAATTAAGTTTCTATGAATTTCAGTTATGACTCTTATAGTATTTACACTTACAAACAAAATTATTAAATGTCTATTTTCATTAAATTTCTAATATATCTAGTTAGAACACACCTCGGGCGCATGGCACCCCATTCTTCTCTTTTGATCAAGTTGGGTATTTCGTCTTTTGTTTTTGAAACATTTGGTTTATCAGAAGCTCCATCAACTCCAGGATGTTGGTCTTTACCTTCTGAAGCTAATAAACCAAAACAATACGTGTCATTTTGTAATGAAGTAAGAATAAAATGAAATATGTAATTTAACCTAATTCATGTTTGTATTTTTACAGTGTTTATTACAACTTGTATGAAATAAGTTTATTGTGCATATTTCCAAATGAAGACCTATTTATTTATAGTTCCACTTTTGATTATACACTAAAACCTGGATATAGGTATGTTAGTTTGTGACTCCTTTGTCTGTTATTGAACGTAAAACATATTTTATACTTGACATAGTGTCAGTAATGAATACGTAAAGAGTGAAGAAAACTCGTGAGGTTAACAAGTTTTAATTTGTTTGTATCATCTTTACAATTAAATCATTTCCCTATTTTAAGACAATCGTTTTGCAAAAAAATACCAATTGATGTTACTAAATGTTGATATTAGAGACATATATGTTACATCATACCATAATTGGGAAGAAAAAAGACCTTGCTTCGCTTAAAAGGTATTCAGCTATACTCAGTATTAAATCGAAATAATACTCTTTGTGGGTAAGAATCCAAACATTTTTTAAAGGTTAGGCTTTAATAGTTTACTATATAATAATAATAGAATATTTTATTGAAGGGTTTTATTATGTGTTATGAAATTTAATAATATAATGTATAATATAAAATACTATAAGTACATATGGTACAGGAGATAAATGCAACTGTTTACAACAACTATACTCACCATTGGACATGGCATAGTAGACATAAGTGAAGACTATATACAATGTGATGTATCGATGGTTTATTGATCTCTTATCTCCAGCCATTATTGATGAGATAGAAGATATCTGAAGAATTGATAACGTGCTCATAAATCACCTGCTCTAGACTCTTCCAAACAGATCACTTCATTTTGTTGCTTAAACTACAAAGGTAAAAACAGCCACTAGATTTATCATCTAAAAGATGTTTTATCTAAAGATAAAGATAAATAAATGTTATTAGAGGAGTGCAGGTAAGAGAACGAAAAGGCCATACATGATTTTTGAAAAATTTTTATAAAGAGAATGGCTTTAAAATGCGATGGAGAAATAACACTAATACTGCCTTTTTATCAATACTATATTCTTCCCAATAGCCTGTAGTTTATATGGCTTGAATCAAGTATTCTATTTTAAATGAAAATAAAATGAATAAAAAAGTGCTGTAAATTTTCTTTTGAGTACAAACACGGTAAACTCTAACATAATAAAACGACCCGTAAGGATAATCCAAACAGGGATATTTCATATTTTTAAAGGTACAAAAGAGTTTAAAACAAAAGAATCGGTAAATACCAGAGACACAGGTTTCCACATGTTCCTTTGTTTGAATGGGCGTACATTGCATTGCTGTAAAATGTATTTTCTAATATTCTATTTTTTTGGTTTTTCCTTTACGTGTTAATGTACCATAACAATAAAAATCAATAATACTTGGAGCTTTCAACCTTTTTTCAATTGCTTGCAATTCTTACTTAATTTCATCAACAACATAATGTCTAATCCTATTGGTTATTGAGCTTGTATCATTGCATCTTAACTATCAACCAAACAATTATAGTGAGTTTCATATATTTCTGAGCTGAAATGTTTGATAACGGTCTTCCATTAAAACATTTTACAAAATTTTTGCTAAAATTGGAACTGATGATATTTTTCCATGGTACTAGGTAATTCTAATCTTAAGAATATTGAAAAAATAATGTTGTGAATGTAGTTGGTTCAATCTTGAATCAGCTTTGAATATGTAGGATGATAAAATTAATATTACAACAATTATTCTTGAGCATAAAAATGTCGAGTCTACAGGAAAGGATTAGGTGCTAGACAAGCTATTACAAAATAACTTATTTTACCCGTTTGTCTATAATTAACCATCAATAATACTCATATTATGGGAAAGTGAAAATTGAATTTCAATCGAACGTTTCTAGATAATATAATTTGTTGTTTAAATCAACCCAAAAAGTTATATTACGCAGATGAAATAATCATGTTTTTTTATGTTTTTACTGTTATTGAGTTTGTGGTTTGTATTAAATCATCTTTATCCTCTGACATAAGACAGTTGTTTTCACTTGTATGTTTTAAAGTAGTTATAGCTATCACTATGTAATGGAAAGTAAATAGATAAACAATGTAAGACTCATATTCGTGTTATTCTGTTTTCTTAGAGCATAAATAACTACAGTACACTTCGATTTGATAGGCACATTTGCGAATTATTAGGTATAAGGATATTAAGTCGTATAAAAATATGCTTTTTAAAATAACAAACGTATTGCAGAAAAAACATTACATAGCTTAATTCAAAGCTAACTGCACGGGAAATGAGTAGTTTTACTTTGCCCTAATTTGTGTCAGATATGACAATATTATCTCTTCTTCTTAAGCTAAATTTAATATTTCCAATTCCTACTTCATCGAATTTGCTTTGCGAGTTGATCGACTATAAATAGCAATATCAAAGAATGAAGTGTTAAGTAAGTGTGTGAGTGCAAATTTCAAAATGTAAAAAACGTAATGACATAAATAATTGATAAAGGTGATGTCCCTTAATTATTCCTTGAATAATAATTAAATTATTTTTACGCTTGTTGATAAACGCTTAACTTAGTTTTAATTTATAAAAGATATCATAAACATCCTTTCAAAGAAATATGTTGAAGACGTCAATTGTTTATAATCTATAAAATTGAGATGTTGAAATATGAAACTGTTGTCTTGCTGAGCAAAGTACAAAGGAACAAGTGGGTGCAAATAAAAGTCTTTGTTTTCACTTCAACTATTCTTTTGATACAGAAGAATGTTATAATTAACCTGAAAGAGTTTATTCAAACATATTTTAATCTCAAATGTTTGTGAATATGAATTGAATAGTTATAAATTTAGTACAATTTATAACACTTTAACTTGTAGTACTGTATTTTCATTGCTTTAAAACAAATATCTTATAAATTTAAATTATAATTAATAGATAAAGCGGTTAAATGTCACAAACAGTAGTAAACAATTTTCATATTAATGTTAATAAACAGAGTTAGACAACAGTGTGAACATCTCCTCAAAACGTTTTAAAGGTAATATCAAAGAAAACGTAACTCCACACACCTATAAATGGTGTAAAGGTCTGATTTTTATTTGGTATATACATTTCTCCCACTAAAACAAAATGGAGTATTTTGGGAGCAGATAAAAATATTACGGTATAAAATCAGAAGTTTGCTCAAAATTAAAATAAATTGTTGAGGCTGATGAAAATTAGTATCGGTTATATGATCTAAGTCTTGGTACTAATTTTATTTATAAAAGGTAAAATGTTTCAAAACCCATTTCATAAATGTTTGGCTATTTTTTTACACTAGAACAAAGATTATTTACAGGCTATTAAGTAGAAGAAAACATATTCAATTCTAGTAAAAATTAAGATGCTAAAAAAATAAACATTTTAAAACATTTAAAATGGAATATATTATTTACGAGCTCTTACCTATTTCTTCCTATCTTATTTTATGAAACATTACCTTTTGTTCTATCCAGACATGTAAGGCGGTAGGTTTGTGTTTCCGTAGATGATCACTTTTTTCAGCGTTGAATTCTACTTTAAACCTCTTCCTACTTTTTGATAAGTGTTAATGGATATTATGTTGTATAACTTGTAGACCCCTTACACTTTCGGACAACCAATCATATGTGTTTAAGACCCATAAAATATTAACTAAAATCTCTTTGGACACTAGATTTGGTGCGTTTTACGATGCACTCGTCCAAGACTCGACCAACACTTATTTTTTGCACATCCATCTTCACTTCAGAACCGTACAGAAGCAGTGCCTGGACTGCAGACACCCGAGATTTTTTCCGTCTGTACGGAAAGCCCATCAAGTTACTTGGGGCAGTGATCTTACACTTTTACCACCCTTGTACACGTATGAAAGATCTGGTCTCTTTAGCTCAGATTATTGTCTAACTTTTACTTTTTACGTTTTCTTCTTGTTTCTTCTTGTTTCCACTTTTTTCTACTTTTTCAATTTTTTTTCTGAATTTTTCTAATTTTATTTTTACTTTTTATCTATTGTCTACTAATTATTTATATACTATGGTATACCTTTCAAGTAATCATCAAGGAATTTGGTCGTTCGCTTGATTTTTACAGTCACGTTCCCACTTGTACCGGAAAGATGATTCAAATCCTCTTTTCGTTAGGATAACGACCTCTCTATTGCTTCAAGATAGCTACAGACCATGACCAGCCATACTTGCATTAAGTACGCTGGAAACGAGTTAGTTCAGCTAAACGTTGCGTGTAACAATGAGGGGCACCAAACTTTGAAAAGTTTGTATAGTAACGTAACGATTTGCGTGATTTCTAAAGCCGGTTTAATTATTGGTATGCTAACAGAAATTTAGTTCAACTATTTGAATGGTAACAGAAATCTAAGATGAAATATTGGCATGGTAACAGAAATATTAGTTCAACTATTGGTATGGTAACATAAAACTAAAAAATTAATCTAGATTTTATTTTTTAAGTATGGATGGTTTTTTAGCTTTAAAAATATCATAGAAGTCGTGCTTTTATACACTTTATAGTTAGTTCTATATGCATATATTGTAGAGAATTTTATATACAAGTGCCGTAAATTTAAATTTTGTGAGTTTGGAATCACTGCATTTGTAATTTGATTAGTGAACATGCTATAACTATGTACATTGCAACAACAACAATTGCAGGAAAAAATTTGTGTATTTTTCATTACTTAAATGGGATTTTTAATACCGTCAAATCAACATTTAGCATACATAGTATCACTATGAAACAAATAATGTCCTTAATGAGTGAGAATTCTGGAATTTTTTACAATTTAAATTTGTCTTTCGAGTAAATCATTTCTTAAGTAAGCATGTTTGTTTTAGATTAAGAACACTTCACTACTATTAACCTACGTATAAAGTAATTAATTGAAATCATCATGTAAGTATGTGATAATAAATGCTCTATAAAATACACTGATGGACCAAGATAAAAAATAGTTATATTTTAATCTTACCCCAAACTAGTGCAGATATTGCTTTAAAAATATGTAAAATCTAAATTGTTTAATCTCGCTATAAAAAAAAACAAAAAAAACAAAAAAAACTGTTTGATAAAATTATTAATACAACAAAAAGGGAGTATTTTCAATACCAATCAATCAAGCCAATAATTTTTAGGTTTTCGCCGGTCGTTTTATTGATATCTGGTAATGAATGTGTCATTTCCCTGGTAAAATATGCGGCAATAACCAACTTAACAATTGTGATATATATCATTTACTACCTAAATCAATTTATATTGCTTCCAATTTTCTTATGAAGCAATTTACATGAACGATTATTTTGTCCTAAAAAATTTTTCGTTTAACTAAAGATTTATTATGTTTGAAACTGTTGATAACTTATCAAACAATTTTATTGAAAAATCCAGAAAATTGGTTTGATGTCTAATCTACTGAATTGAATTGTGAATTTTTTATTAGTACGATTTGTTATTTGAAATTATTTAGTTGAAGTATTATTTTTGTTGGAAATAATAGGGTCTATTGTTTATAAAGGTATATGGTGTCCAAAAAGAAGTTCATCATTTTATTTCATTTTACTAACTCTAGGCCCCTAATTGCATTTCATATAGAAAGTAATAATGTTTTAACACGACATAAAGTGTTCTTATATAAGTTTGGCTTCCGAAACATTATCAATTTACTAATTTAATAACTAAGTTCAATTGAGAGAGCATCCACACATTA